TCATTGTACCTGCACAGGAGGTGCCACCCCCAACGGTGCCCATGGACTATTCCTGGGCCAGGGTAGGTGCCTTGTGTGCCCCATGGGAGGACAGTGGAGACTTGGGGGGGCCTAAGGTGATGAATTTGCAGTTGATTTGTTTTCAACTCCTGGAAACTAGGCCCTGCCAACTAGACAGGGCCATCACGTAGTCCCCTCTCTGTGGTGGGAACCACGTCCCCAAGGGGCTTCTCCAGGGGCATCAGAAGAAACTCTAGGATTGACTCCAGGATTCCAGCTGTGCCTGTGGCTGGTGTTTGTGGCTGGCCCCTTCCGACTTCTAGGTAAAGCAAACACAGAGGCTGTGAGGGCCAGGATAGCTGGTGTCTCTCTTTTTTAAATTTGTATGTGTTCTTTTATTTATTTATTTGTTTGTTTGTTTGTTTTAAAGAAATGTTATTTATCTGAAAGAGCAATAGAGAGCGAGTGAGAAGGAGGTAGAGAGAGAGAGAGAAATTTCCTCCATCCACTGGTGTATCTCCAAATGGCCACAACAGCCAAGTCTGGGCCAGGCCAAAGCCAGGAGCCAGGAGCTCCATCCTGGTCTCCCATGTGGGTAGCAGGGGGCCAAGCACCTGGGCCAGCATCTGCTGCCCTCCTAGACACATTAGCAGGGAGCTGCATCGGAAACAGAGCAGCTGGGAGCCACACCAGAACTGCAATGTGGGACGCTGGTGTCGCAAGCGGCAGCGTAACCTGCTGCACAATGCCAGCCCCAGCCTGTCTCTTACATCAGTTCCTGACCTGGAAACAGATGGGACTGGGGACAGATAACGTCCCCTGGAGTTGTTTTGTGCTTGGGAAGAGATCTCGAGAGTTAAGCAGAGTCCACGCTGCCGAGTGTCTGCTGGGCCTAGAATTGGGAGGGCGGCTTTTCTGTGCCGGGGGCCGTCGGGATGTTTGTTTACAGCAGCGTTGGGGAGACGTGAGCCTGCTCTGATGGACTGAAGTCTGAGTGCTGCCAGGGCCACAGGCCAGTGCTGGAGCCCACAGGCCAGATGCTCCTCACTCCCGCAGACGGCGCATTTTCTCAGTATGCAAAGACTCATAGGACGTCAGTGTTTTAAAGGCCAATAACCCTGTAGAAAAATGGCTAGAAAATGGCCTTTCAACATGAAAAAAATGCCCAGCCTCACTCAAAAAAGAACCAAAATGAAACTGTCATGACAGTTTTCCTCACAGATTGGCAAAGATTAAAAAAAATATATATATGAGTAACGTGTTGTTTGTGCGGCTGTGAGGAAGCGGTGCCTGCCGCCATCGCTGGCGGGAGTACAAGGTGGCCCAGCCTGTGTGAGGCGGCCGGGTGACAGCCGCGCAGCTGAAGGGCTCAGACCTGGAGCCCAGCAAGGTCGCCTCTCGATATTCACTGTAGCGGAATCCTGTGTCCTGCACAGGAAGAAACAGTCAAGGAGTGCTGTAGTTGGCAGTTCTCGGTGGCTGTCAGCACCCTGGAGCTTGGTCCTAGGACACTTAGAAGGAGTGAGCCGATCTGTGTAGGTGCCCGAGTTTGTACATGGATACACACAGAGCTACATGGTGTATTGTCTGTGTACTAAGTAAATGAAAGTGAGGAAAGATGTCCACTAAGCTAACACCAGGCCACAAGACCAAGAGCGGGGTGGTGGTCTTAGAGAGCATAAGTATATGTGGGGTCTCCCAAAAGTTCCTGGAGAATGTGCCTCATGAGAAAATAATGCATGGATTCCTGCTTTTTACTTTTTAAAGATGTATGTGTTTGTTTGAAAGGCAGAGTTACAGAGACAGAGAAATCTGCCATCTACTGGGTTGCTGCTGAATTGGCCACAGTGGCCATGGTTGGGCCAGGCTGAAGCCAGGAACCAGGAACTCCATCCAGGTCTCCCATGTTGGTGGCAGGGACCTGAGCACTTGGGCCATCTTCCTCTGCTTTCCCAGGTGCATTAGCAGGGAGCTGGATCAGAAATGGAGCAGCCGGGACTTAAACTGGCACCCATGTGGAATGCCGGCACGACAGGCCAGGGCTTTAACCCGCTGTGCCACAGTGCCGGCCCCAACACATAAGTCTTCTAAAAAGTAAAATAAAACATCATTGGCACCCTTTGGTTCTGGGAGCACAGGCTGGGCACAGTCCTGGGAAATCTGTGGTGATTGCCTATGCCTGCTTCCCTCTGCCCCACCTCTGCAGGAACTGGGTCTGATCCGCAAACCTGCCTCGTTCATGACCAGCATCTGCGACGAGCGGGGACAGGAGCTCATCTACGCGGGCATGCCCATCACCGAGGTCTTCAAGGAGGAGATGGGCATCGGCGGGGTCCTCGGCCTCCTCTGGTTCCAGAGAAGGTGAGGCATGCGGGGTGGGAGGGGCTGTGCCCTGCAGCTCACAGGGGTGGCCAGGCCTTGGCAGTGTGCCCAGGGGCGATCTTACAGCCGCAGGTCCACAGCTAAGTCTTCCAAGGACAGAAACCAAGAGAAGCAGAAAGCAGTGACCTCGTTCGAGGTCTTACAGCAGCCCCTTTGGCATGGGATCTTTGACAAAAATGGGACCAAGTAAATGCAGAGCTCTGGACATGGCTGTCCGGGGCAGCCGGGTGGTTTGGACAGATCTGGCAGCTTAGAGGGTGCAGGCCTGGTGGGACTGTGCATCAGGCATAAAGTTGGGTTGTATTCTCGTCACAAATATGTCTCATCGTCCTGAAGGCTGGGGGAAAATTGGTTTTCTTTGTAACTCTGAAAGCTAGCCTTCGCGGAGACTGACAGCTGGGCCATGGAGTTGGGGAGGATGTGACTCCTAGCGCACTGGGTGAAGGCTGGGGGTCAGGCCCTCGTCTGCAGAGAGCTGGGTCTTGATCCTGCCTCGGGCTCTTTCTGGGGAGAGTTCCCAGCTGTCACACCTGGACAGGTATCTCTGTCTGCACCTGGCTCGCCGCATCTGCAGACCATTCACGGGCCTCCCATGTTGTGAAAGGGCAGCTCCCACTTCCCCTCTGCACTCAGCTACCCCAAATACAGGCCGAGTCTGGTCGCGGCCATCATACTGGAAACTGTTGTCCAAAAGAGACACTTCAAAGCCTTGTTGCTAGACCTTTTCATGTTCGTTCATGTTTATTTAGAAAGTGGAACAACAGGAGAGAGAAAGGTACAGAGATCTCTTGTCAATTGATTTACTCCCAGATGCCTGCAGCTGCCAGGCTGGGTCAGGCCAGAGGCAGGGACTCCTTGCAGGGCTCCTGTGTGAGTGGCAGGGACTCAGGACATCGTCTGTTGCCTCCCACGTGCATTGGCAGGAAGCAGAGGCGGCGGAGGCGGGACCCATCCAGGGCACTCTGATCTAGGATGCAGATATCCCAAGCAGCAGCTTACCTCACTGTTAAACCCACTGTTATTTATTTGAAAGAATAAAAGAGAGAGGGAGAGACAGATCTTCATCTGCTGGTCTACTCCAGGGCTGGGCCAGGCCAAAGCCAGGAGCTGGAAGCATCTGGGTCTCCCACATGGGTGCAGGGGCCCAAGCACTTGGTTCATCCTTCACTGCTTTCCCAGGTGCATTAGCAGGGAGCTGGATCAGAAGTGGAGCAGCTAGGGTACAAACCAGTGCCCATATGAGATGCTGGTATCATAGACAATGGCTTAACCTGCTGCAACATAGCACCAGACACCCCACTCCTCCCACTGTTTAAAAACAGTATTTGATAGCAGCAAAGCCTAGAACTGCTGTAAAATCAACAGGTTCTGGGATGGGTGTTTAGCCTAGTTGTCAGGCTACAAAGATGCGCACATCCCGTATCAGAGTGCCTGGGCTTGATACCCAGCTTTGGTTCCTGGCTCCAGCTTCCTGCTCCTGCGGACGTGCGGAGACAGCAGCGATGGCTCAAGTACTTGGGTCCCTGCCACCCATGTAGGAAACCTGGATGGAGTTCCTGGCTCCTGGGTTCTGCCTTGGCCCAACCCTGGGCCACTGGACATTCAGGGAGTGAACCAGTGGATGCAAGCTCACTCTGTCTCTCTGCCTCTTAAAGCAACCATCAGGAGGTTTTGCCTTGTGGTTGTGTGATCAGTGTAGATTTGGACTGGCAGTTCACTGTCCCTCAGTTTTCCAGGCAGAGAGGAGCAGTCGGAGCTTGGCTTGGTCAGTGCCACCCCGACCTTTGTGCCTCCTCACCTTTCCTCTCCTCTCCCTCTCCTGCCACCCCTCGCTCACCCTCCTCCAGGTTGCCCAAATACGCGTGCCAGTTCATTGAGATGTGCCTGATGGTGACCGCCGATCATGGGCCGGCCGTCTCTGGGGCTCACAACACCATCATCTGTGCTCGGGCTGGGAAGGACCTGGTCTCCAGCCTCACCTCGGGGCTGCTCACCATCGTAAGTACCGTGCCCCCGGGAGGTGAGCGGCGTGTGGCAGGGTCCTGCTCTGGGGGCCGTTTGGAACGCACTGGATTGGTTGGCGAAGCCGCGTGTGCTTGTTTCTCCCCCAGGGGGATCGGTTTGGGGGTGCCTTGGATGCGGCGGCCAAGATGTTCAGTAAGGCCTTTGACAGTGGCATCATCCCCATGGAGTTTGTGAACAAGATGAAGAAGGAAGGGAAGCTGATCATGGGCATCGGGCACCGAGTGAAATCCGTAAGTCCTCACTCTCCTTGAAGGGGTGAAGCCACAGAGAGGGCGGTGATGGGGAGCGCCAGTGTGGCCGGGTGAATCCGAGCTCTCCGTGCCAAGAACGCAGGGCGCTGAACAGGTTGGCAGTGCGGGCACCAGGCAGCTGTCGTTTCCATGTCATAGTACAGATTGCCCTTAAGCCAGTGATTTGTGTATTTTGAGACAATTTGGAAGGCAGAGTTACGGGGGGGGGGGGGGTATTTCATCTTCTGTTTCATGCCCCAATAGAGGGGCCACAGTGGCTAGGGCTGGGCCAGGCCAAAGTCAGGAGCCAGGAACTCCATCTGGGCCTCCGACGTGGCTGGCAGGGACCCGGTCACTTGAGTCATTGGCTGCTTTCCCAGACACGTTAACAGGGAGCTGGGTGGGAAGTGGAGCAGTGGGACTTGAACCAGAGTTCACATGGGTTGCTGGTGTCACAGGCTGCGACTTAACCACCATGCCACAGTGCCTGCCCGGCTTAAGCAGTCTCATCGTGTTCATCTGTAGTTGGAAGAGATGGTAGAAATGTGGTAACTTCACAGGAGGAACCACTAAGGCCAGGGTTAAGGGGACACACCATCAGCCCTGGCTGAGTAACACTGCAGTTACCCAACAACTCTGGACGTCTCAGGCTTAGAGCAGCCACGGCCTGTGTGGTCACTTAGACCATGCCCACTGGGCCTCGGCCCTGTCTTCTGTCACCTGCGTCAAAAGAGTAGCCGCTTGCAGGTCCCTTTGCCCTGGGCTCCTTGGCTCTGGCTCCAGAAACCTCATTGCGTCGGACACTGTGCTGGCGTCAGTAACTCAGACTAGCCCCGGAGGGTCCTGCGTGTGGCCTAGGACAGCCCTTTGCAGACAGCTAAGCACTGGGCCGTCTCCCGTGAGCTCTGCGGGATGCCCCACCTCCAGCACATAGCAGATGTCTTTCCAGTCTGCAGCTCAGGGTTGCTCCTGGGATACTGCTAACCCTGCACTGCTGCCCCCTGGCGTCTGCTGGGGAGGGAGCAGGTCTCTGGTGTCAGGAATTAGACTGAATAGCCAGCCTCCCTCTCCCACAGGTGAGGTCCCTTCATGGCTGGGTAATTTCATGATGGACCTGGAGGTCTTTCCACAATTTGGGAGACACTTTGTTGCCCCAGTCCCAACGTGTGCTTGCTCAGTGTAGAACTTCGTTCCAGCCAGACCCAGTCCCGGAGCTGGTGTTGGAGCCTAAGACCTGGCCTTGTAGCCAGAGGTGGGTCCAGAGCACCTGAGCCTACAGCGCCGTGCACCTCCCCCAGGCTCCCTTCCTTCCTGCTAGCACTCAAGAGAGAACCTGCAAAGGTTGTTGGGGCCCCTGTGGGATTTGAGAGGACTTCAGCAACCTTCAGCCCCTCTGCAGTGTCTGGTGGTGCACATGGCTCGGCCGCAGTGTCCTCTCAGGGGAGCGACCCATTCAGTCTGCCTCCTGCGACATGAGTGGGAGCACGCCTGTGGCGGCAGTGTGTGTGAGCGAGCTCCCCCGGAACGGTGGGTCCCTTTGCAGATCAACAACCCGGACATGCGCGTGCAGATCCTCAAGGACTACACCAGGCAGCACTTCCCCGCCACCCCGCTGCTCGACTACGCCCTGGAAGTGGAGAAGATCACCACCTCGAAGGTAGCCGCCGGGACCCCCCCCTGCCCTCAGCCTGTGTCGGGGACCTGGGAGCCAGGCTCTGGCTTGATTGTGCAGTCAAAACTCAAACCTGCTTTTCTGTCTGGGATGTTGTTAATCTTCTGTTGCACAACTGAATTCAGCAGATGGACTAAATGGCAGCCAGGCGTCAGATCTTTCGGGAGACCCTGGGAATTAAATGGAGACATGGTCTCAACCAATGGGGCTGTTTTGGTGGGAGGTTATCTTTTAAATTTTATTGTTTTTATGATTTTATTTATTTGAAAGGCAGAGTTATGGGGGGGAGGAGGGGGAGCAAGATGTACCATCCCTGGTTTACTACCCAAATGGCTACAACAGCCAGGGCTGGATCAGGCTGAAGCCAGGAGCCTGAAGCTTCTTCTGGGTCTCCCACGCGGTGCAGGGGCCCAAACACGTAGGCCATCTTCCACTGCTTTCCCAGGCCATTTGCAGGGAGCTGGATTGGAAATGGAGCAGCTGGGACTCGAACCAGCACTCATGTGGGATGCTGGCATTGCAAGTGGCAGCTTCACCAGTTGTGCTACAATGCCAGCCCCTTGGTGGGAGGTTTTTAAATAGTGTTCAAAATTTATATTAATAGTTATGGTGACAAAGAAAAACAGTGAGAAGTCGTATGTAACTGCAATGACTTTTTTACCCTTCTCAGAAACCAAATCTTATCCTGAATGTAGATGGCTTCATCGGAGTTGCCTTTGTAGACATGCTCAGGAACTGTGGGTCCTTTACTCGGTGAGTACTGCAGCCCTTTGTGTGTGTGTGTGTGTGTGTGTGTGTGTGAAAGGTAAAGTGATAGCGAGACACAGAGCAAACCTTTCCAGCAGCTGTTCACTCCCCAAATGTCTGCAACAGCCAGGACTGGGCCTGGCCAAACCAGGAGCCAGGAGCTCCATCTGGGTGTTCCACGTGGGTGGCAAGGGCCTAAGCCATCATCTGCTTCCTCCCAGGCACATCAGCAGGAAGCTGGACTGGAAGTGGAGTAGCTGGGACTTGAACCAGGCACTCTGGTGTGGGATGTGGAGTTCTGGCCTGCGGTGCCAGCGATGCCTGCCCTAGCTGTTTCCCTCTTGACAACACCGATTAGGTTTTGTTTTGTTTCCATAGACATCAGGCGTGCTCATGAGGGAGGATTTAGAAAATATGAAAAGGTATAAAGGCGATAATGAAAAGTGTCTCTAATCTTGAGCCGGCGCCGTGGCTCAATAGGCTAATCCTCCACCTTGCGGCGCCGGCACACCGGGTTCTAGTCCCGGTTGGGGCGCCGGATTCTGTCCCGGTTGCCCCTCTTCCAGGCCAGCTCTCTGCTATGGCCAGGGAGTGCAGTGGAGGATGGCCCAGGTGCTTGGGCCCTGCACCCCATGGGAGACCAGGAAAAGCACCTGGATCCTGGCTCCTGCCAGGATCAGCGCGGTGCGCCGGCTGCAGCGGCAGCCATTGGAGGGTGAACCAGCGGCAAAGGAAGACCTTTCTCTCTGTCTCTCTCTCTCACTGTCCACTCCACCTATCAAAAAAAAAAAAAAAAAAAAAAAAAAAAAGTGTCTCTAATCTTACCACCCAGAGTTCTTTTCTGTTTGGAAGCCAAAGAGCTGCTGCTCCCAGGGCAGCCAGATTGGAGGCGCGCTGTCCACCGGGAGGAAGGGGCTTCTGAGCCCCTTACAAACCGCCTTGTGCCTGTGTGTTGCAGGGAGGAGGCTGACGAATACATCGACATCGGGGCCCTCAATGGCATCTTCGTGCTGGGAAGGAGCATGAGCTTTATCGGTGAGTCCTCGCTGTTTCCAAGAGTTTTGTCCCCGACCCGCACTGTTCCGCTGAACCATGTGAGCCAGCAGTCGGTTCCTATAAGAGAGGTCACATTTTCTCAGTTTTCAAGTCTTCCTTTTTTATATAGGATTATGTATGTATGTATGTATGTATTCATTCATTCATTCATTTGAAAGGCAGAGCCACAAAGAGGGGACGAGAGACACAGAGATACCTTCCATTTGCTAGATCATTCACCAGATGCCTGCAATAGCCAGAGCTGGGCCAGGCGTAAGCCAAGAATTCCATCCGGGTCTCCCACATGGGTGTGTTATGCCCGGTTCAGTCATCCCCAAAGACCACCAAGGAGCCAATACTGCTGTAAAGCACATGAGAGTTTTATTGCAGATCCAGGCCTGGTCTCTCAGTCAACACCGACGCAGCGGGTCTGAATTGAGAGCCCCGACCCTTCAGTTAACAGGGTTTTTATAGGGTTTTCAGAGACAGTCTATACATCACGGTACCATTTAGCAAATCATCTCATCCCACGGGAAATTCAAAGGACATCTCCCAGAATTGATTAGTGCATCCAGTGGCGGGAACGGACCTACTAAAGGTGGTTGGATGGCTTTGGGGTTGATGCCTTTGGAACTGATTGGCCGAAGCACAGGGTCCAAGCTGCTGGGGTGTGTGTACCGAACTGCAGGGTCTCAGGTAGCTATCAGTCACCTTATCTGCCCTGAGAAGACACCAGGAACTCTAGGTATTTCTCTGTTATCTGTTAATCGGCTGTTGCTAGGAGAGTTTATTGCAAGGGGAGTTCATTTATTTACTTTTAGGAGCTTCTGGCTTAGGGTTCAGGGCCTGGTCAGGCCCAAGTTACAAGATGGAGGCCTAATTAAAATAGTTACACCTTGATCCAGGCTCAGGTCTCACAGGTGGCAGGGGCCAAAGTACTTGGGCCACCATCTGCCGCCTCTGGGATGCGTTAGCAGGAAGCCTCATCTGACATGGAATAGCTGAGACTGGAACCAGGCACTCCATAGAGGACGTGGGCACCCCTGGCTGTGGCTTAACTCACCGCGCCACAATGCGCGCCCCTCAATACTTCTTTCTAGGCCGGCGCCGCAGCTCACTAGGCTAATCCTCTGCCTTGCGGCGCCGGCACACCGGGTTCTAGTCCCGGTCAGGGTGCCGGATTCTGTCCCGGTTGGCCCTCTTCCAGGCCAGCTCTCTGCTGTGGCCCGGGAGTGCAGTGGAGGATGGCCCAAGTGCTTGGGCCCTGCACCCCATGGGAGACCAGGAGAAGCACCTGGCTCCTGCCTTCGGATCAGCGCGGTGCGCTGGCCGCAGCATGGCGGCCGTGGCGGCCATTGGAGGGTGAACCAACGGCAAAGGAAGACCTTTCTGTCTCTCTCTCTCACTGTCCACTCTGCCTGTCAAAAAAAAAAAAAAAAAATTCTTCCTTTCTTTGACTTCCCCCTTATTTTTATGTTTGGTCCTTTGTTCCTAGAAATGACTTCTGATTGCCAGCCCAGGAAAATTAAATCGTGTTTCCTGTTTGCTGAAGTCCAGCTGGTCAACCAGTGGAATGGCTCTGGATATACGTTCCCATTTCTTTGATTCTGCCTTTATGTGGATTAGAAAGAATTCTCCTTGCTCAATCTCTCCCTCACCAAGCATTTGTTGCTTTTTAGGGCATTACCTTGACCAGAAGAGGCTGAAGCAGGGGCTGTATCGTCATCCCTGGGATGATATCTCCTATGTTCTCCCCGAGCACATGAGCATGTAGCCGAGCCAGGAACCCGACTGCAGTGGCGTGAAGACGGGCACTCCTCCTCGGGAAACAGCGCGCAGACAGCTGGCAGCCGAGCCTGCTCCGGACGGGGCTGGGGCAGGGACAGCGCTGGTGTACACACTGAAGACCAACCCCTTGGGCTGACGGCCACTGGGACCACACAAAGAAGCTTAATATTTTTTTTTATAAGCATAGAAATAAAGACCAAGCCAATACTTCTGACATTTGCTCTGCTACTTGCTGTATTTATTACGTGGACGCATCTCAGTACTGTCAGCGTAGTCCTCCCCCTGTAGAGCATTCCGATGTTGCTCTCTTTTTCCATTAGTTGAAAAGATTTTTTTTTCCCTTGGAGGAAGGAAATGAAACGTTGTAAGACCTCTGGGTGCCACTATACCTTTTGAAGCACCCTGATGTCTTATTTCTCCACTTTGCTCTCTTCCTCCTCTATAACATGAAGAACATTATGTATTAATCTGATTTTTAAGGACCTTTGTGTATGTTATATGTTAAGGATTTATTTAGTATCCCACTGAGATGATCCGCACTGCAGTCAAAAATCTGCTTACGTTGGCGGGGGTGGGACCATTGCATCCTTAGTCTTTGTCATAAAGTATGTGGAGTAGTAACTTAAAATGTAAAGTTGTAACATACATATGTTTAAAATGAAACCAGGAAGCAGAAAGCTGTGAAATGTCTCGTGTCTTACGTGCTCTGTATTTATGCTCCATGTGGGTCCCCGGACTCATCTCGGCTACTTTGCATCTGTAATCCACTAAGATGCCAGGCAGCTGCCACCTCCGTGTCTCCTCCGTGTTATCACAGCCTGGTGGAAATAAACTATCCAGTAACAGAGCACACAGCCGGCTCCTGTCTTCCCTATCCTTCCACCCCAAGTCCTCTGGACCACTTCCTAATAGTTTCAGTACATCTGCTGTTTAAAACGCTCCCCTGCCTCTGCAGAACTGGGACGAATCGAAAGGCTAGCTTCGAAAAAAAGCAGCCCGAGCCTGGCTCGGGAGTGACCCTGTCCCCCACTGTGCGCTGCCCCACTGGTGTCCCCCTGGCTCTGGGTGGCCTGTCTGCCCTGCCCACGGGGGCCCCTGTTCCTCCCTCCCTCTGGCAGAATGGAGCCTGGAGTGGTGACTGATCTAAGGTTTCAGAAGAGAAATTAGCCCAGAGGTAAACTCATCCTCAATCACTTGCCCGGGGCTCCCCCTTAAAGCCTTTTAATCCGGGAGCCAGCGCCCGCTGTGCCAGCATCCTGTATGGGCTCTCTGCGGTGGCCTGGGAAAACAGGGGAAGATGGCCCAAGTCCTCGGGTCCCTGCACCCACGTGGGAGACCAGAAGAAGCGCCTGGCTCCTGGCTTCGGATCAGCTCAGCTCCTGCCCATGTGGCCATTTGAGGAGTGAACCAGCAGATGGGAGATTCTAACTCTACCTTTCAAATTAATCTTTCATAAAAATCTAGTCATTCGAAGCAAAAATCCTATATTACCACCCTAGGCTAATTTTTGGGTGTGATTCAAGGTACTTTTCGCTTTGCAAAGTGACGGTGAAAAAAGCCCGCTACCCCAAGCCCTTCGCCCACCCGCGGCACAGCGGGACCTCCTGCGGCTTAACCAACCCCGCCCGGAGAGCGCGGCGGGCGAGCCCGAGGCGGCGCATGCGCGGTGGGCGGGCGCCTGGCTCCGCCCCGCGCGCACTATTTAATCCCAGAATCCCTCTGTGTCGCACCAGAACGGCCGCTTCGTTCCGAGGCTGCGGGGCCGGGCGCGGCGGCGTCAAGATGGCGGCTGCGGCAGTGGCGGCGGCGGCTGCTGCGGCGGCGGCTGCGTCCCTTCAGGTGCTGGAGATGGAGAGCATGGAGACGGCCGCCGCCGGCTCAGCAGGCCTGGCCGCCGAAGTCCGGGGCAGCGGCACGGTGGACTTCGGGCCCAGCCCGGGAATCTCGGCCATGGAGGCTAGCGGGGGTGATCCGGGCCCGGAGGCCGAGGACTTCGAGTGCAGCTCCCATTGCTCGGAGCTGTCCTGGCGGCAGAATGAGCAGCGGCGCCAGGGCCTCTTCTGCGACATTACCCTGTGTTTCGGCGGCGCCGGAGGCCGCGAGTTCCGGGCCCACCGCTCGGTGCTGGCCGCCGCCACCGAGTACTTCACGCCGCTGCTCTCGGGCCAGTTTTCCGAGTCCCGCTCGGGCCGGGTGGAGATGCGCAAGTGGAGCTCGGAGCCGGGGCCAGAGCCCGACACGGTGGAGGCCGTTATCGAGTACATGTACACCGGGCGCATCCGCGTCAGCACGGGCAGCGTGCACGAGGTGCTGGAGTTGGCCGACCGGTAGGCGCTGCGGGCCGCGGGCCTGGCGAGGGCCGTGCAGACGAGGAGAGGAGGGGGGCGCGGTGATGGCGGCGGCATTGTAGCCCACCCGTGTCCGTGGCCAGCAAGAACTGGCTGCGCAAAGATGGGGGACGCGCAGATAGCGCAGAGACCTCGGGCGGGACGCACGCTGCTGCCTTGGGGGAAGAACTTGAAAAATCCAGTAAGGCGGGATCTGGTGGGAGAAGGGCGCGCGAGGCGGCGGAGTCGGGAGCCTGGGTTTTTCTCCTGCGATGGGAGGCTGAGCTACGGAAATGGTCTGATTTAATCGCTTAAAAGAATTGCCCCGCGACTCTGCAGAATGGATTGTAGGCAGCGGGAGTGGATGCTCCAGAGAGCGGTTGGGAGGCAGGTGGATGCCAGATGTGGGTTAGGGGCGGAGCTTGCTATGCATCATCGTGTTACAGAGTCGTTACTGTAACGAATACCTGCTGGGCACCTCGGACGCGTCAGATCCGACCCTGGGTTCTAAGGTGCTGGGGACTGAGCAGTAAACAAAACTGACAGAAGTCCCTTTCCTGATCGCTGTTAGGTTGGTAGAAGGACAATAAATCAGAACGCAGCCTGGTGGATGATTGTTATAGCTGTGGTGAAAAACAAAGCCTGGGGGAGGGGCGCGTGGACGGGGCTGGTGCAGAGGAAGTCTGTTGCCTTCTGAAGACGTTTTGCAGAGAACTGAAGGAGGAGAGCTAGGGTGTTCCAGAGAGGGGACCAAGTGCAGTGACAGTGACCAGAGTGGGGCGGACCTGTCGGTGGGAGAGCAGCAGGGGCTGCTGTGGCTGCATCTGAGGGGTGGGGGGGAGCCGCAGAAGCGGGGGGGGGGGGGGGGGGGCTGTAGATAAATTACTTGAGGTAGAGGTAGAAGAGAAGTAGGGGGACGGGGCAGGCAGGACTGAAGGTCTGGAATTCTCTAGAATGTGGAAGAGGGGCCAGCAGAAGAGACTGATCTCTTGGAATCCTCGAGAAGAAGGCTGTCAAGGGAGGTAGCAACCAGTCGTGGCAGCCAGCCCTGAGCGGTCCTCCGACGTCTGGTTGCGTTGACAGGCGCCAGTGGGTCTTGTTATAAAGAGGGTCAGAAAGGGTGCACCTGTTTCAGGGGCAGAGGGACTGCGTCCCCCCCCCCCCCACCACCTCGGTGCTGGAGGCACTAGAGCATGTTTGTGTGCTGATGAAAAGGATTCAGTGCAGCAGGAGAAATCGGTGTTATGGGCGCAGGGAGAAAATGGCCAGAGCAAACTGCTTGGAACCAGGAGGTAGAGTCAGACTGCGATCGGGAAGGCAGAGTGAAGGGTGCAGCTGCAGGCAGGTGGGGTGGTGGGAAGCTGAAGTTTGCTGAGTGAAAATGAATACAGGGGCGGGTGCTGTGGCACAGTGGGTTAACGCCCTGGCCTGCAGTGCCGGCATCCCATGTGGGCACCGGTTCGAGACCGGGCTGCTCCACTTCCCATCCAGCTCTCTGCTATGGCCTGGGAAAGCAGTGGAAACTGGCCCAACTGCTTGGGCCCCTGCACCTGCGTGGGAGACCCAGAAGAAGCTCCTGGCTCCTGGTTTGGATCAACGCAGCTCCAGCCGTTGCAGCCAATTGGGGAGTGAATCATCGGATGGAAGCCCCCTCCCATGCCTCTCTTCTCTCTGTGTAACTTTATGTTTGTTTGTTTGTGACAGAAAGAGTTAGACAGTAAGAGAGAGAGAGAAAGGTCTTCCTTTTTCTGTTGGTTCACCCCCAAAATGACTGCTACGGCCGGCACGCTGCGCCGATCCAAAGCCAGGAGCCAGGTGCTTCCTCCTGGTCTCCCATGCGGGTGCAGGGCCCAAGCACTTGGGCCATCCTCCACTGCACTCCTGGGCCACAGCAGAGAGCTGGACTGGAAGAGTAGCAACTGGGACAGAATCCGGGGACCCAACCAGGACTAGAACCTGGGGTACTGGCGCCGCAGGCGGAGGATTAGCCAATTGAGCCATGGTGCCGGCCTCTGTGTAACTTTGACTTCCAAATAAATAAATAAATAAACCTTTAAAAAAAGAAAGTGACTCAGAAGGGTCATTGCACTCAGGCTGTTCTATTATGTGATACTGTGTTTTTCGGATTTGCCCCCTTTAACGTTTCATTTATTTTTACTCACTTGAAGGGAGAGAAGAGAGAGCTCTCTTCCATTTTCCAAGTGTCCTCAACAGCCAGGGCTGGGCTGACACTAGGAGCCCAGAACTCCATCCAGTTCTTCCACATGGGTGGCAAGAACCCAAGTACTTGAGCCATAACCTGCTATCTCCCAGAGTGTGCATTAACAGGAAGCTGGATCAGAAGCAACCAGGGACTTGAACCAGGCATTCCGATATGGGATAGGTGGATCTCCTCCCGCCCGCCCTCCCACCCACCCAGCCAACCAACTATGCTCTGTTACTGATCGTGCATACCTTGCAGAACACACTTGTAAGGATCAGAGTGAATAGGATGTGCCTAGCATGATGCCCCTCACATGACAGATGTCTAATATATGATAGCTGTTTTCATAAAGCCGTACTTGCAAACATCTGAGGGAACATGTCTCAGAATTACCTGTGGGGCTGGCACTGTGGCGTAGCTGGCAAAGCTGCCGCCTGCAGTGCCAGCATCCCATGTGGGCACCAGTTCGAGTCCTGGCTGTTCCACTTCCCATCCAGCTCTCTGCTATGACCTGGGAAAGCACTGGAAGATGGCCCAAATCCTTGGGTTCCTGCACCCATGTGGGAGACCCAGAAGAAGCTCCTGGTTACTGGCTTTGGATTGGTGCAGCTCCGGCTGGTGAGGCCAATGGGGGAGTGAACTGGCGAATGGATGACTTCTCTCTCTCTCTCTGCCTCTCCTCTCTCTTGTAACTGACTTTCAAATAAATAAATAAATCTTTTTTTTTTTTTTTTAAAGAATTACCTGGAGTTGTCTGCCAAAAATCAGAGCTCAAAGCTGCCTGGGATTGGTGATCTTGGCACCTAGACATGTCTGAGAGCCACTAGAGCCCTTGCCATTCCACTTGGTCTCTATCATACATTCCCTTCAGAGGGTAAAGGGAGCCTGTCTTACTCATCTTTATGTTAAGATAATTATTAACTGCAGGAGCCCTAATAACAAATGGTTATGGAGCTGATGAAGTCACCCTTTGTATAAGGTTCTTCTCACTTCTAAGGACTTGCTCTTTAAGACAGTGGTTTCAAGTTGGCCACCCTCAGGCTGAATGCTGCCGCATTTATGAATTAGGCTGAAATTATTGTGGGTTGTTTTGCATGGTTTTTTTGTTTTTGTAATTTAACTGTAAGTGAACTCAGGGAGGTGGGTAAGGTCTAGTCAGCTACATGCCCAGCTACCTTATCTTTTTTATTTAAAAAATTTTTAAGATTTATTTATTTATTTGAAAGGCAGAGTTACAGAGAGGCAGAGAGAGTGAGAGAGACAGAGAGAGAGAGAGAGGTCTTCTATCCTCTGGTTCACTCCCCAGATGGCTGCAACAGCCAGAGCTGCGCTGATCCAAAGCCAGGAGCCAGGAACTTCTTTAGGTTCTCTCACATGGCTGCAGCGGCCCAAGGACTTGGGCCATCTTCTACTGCTCTCCCAGGCCATATGGGATGCTGGCACTGCAGGTGGCAGCCCTACCCACTATACCACAACACCGGCCCTGCCACCTTCTCTTGTCTTTTAAACCTACACTGTCCCACATATAGGTATCTTTGTTGTTTTCTGGTTTTGTTTCCCAGCTTCTGCTGTGTTTGAGTTTGCTTTGCCATCCCTGCTTTAATGAGAAGCCAACTAGAGGCAAAGCCCCTGGGCACCCACCTCCTCTGGCTGCCTAGGAGAAAGCTGTGGTGTGTTTCAAAATACATTTTATATAAAATTGTGATTTCTTTTAAAGATTTATTTATTTGAAAGGCAGAGTTCGAGAGAAAGGGAGATCTTCCATCTGCTGGCTCAGTCTCCAAAATAGCTACAACAGTCAGGGCCAGGCCAGGCCAGGCCAGACCCAAGAGTTTCATCTGGGTCTCCTACATGGGTGCAGGGGCCCAAGCCCTTGGGCCACCTTCTGCTGCTTTCCTAGGCACATTAGCAAGAAGCTGGTTTGGAAGTGGAGGAGCCAGACCAGGAAACAGGGCCCAGATGAGATGCTGGCATTGCAAGTATCAACTTAGCCCACTGCACCACAACATGGCCCCACGGTATATGCTTAAGGACATACTTTCTAATTGGGGGAATTTTCACATGTTGTGCATAAAATAAGAAATTTGCACAAATCATATGCTCTCAGTGCAGTCAGAGACCTGCATTGTGCTGAGGCAGGTTAATCTGCTGCCCTGGATGCCCACATCTCTTATCGGTATGTGGGCTGGAGTCATAGCTACTGTGCTTCCAATCCAGCTCCCTATTAATGCTCCTGGGAGGCAGCAAATGATGGCTTAAGTGCTTAGGGCCCTGCCACATAGATGGGAGACCCAGATGGGGTTTCTGGCTTCCACCTGACCAAGTCCTAGCTGTTGGGAGCCATCTGAGAAAATGAACCATGGGTCTGTCACTGTGGTGCAGCAGGTTAAAGCCCCAGCCTGCAGCACTGGCATCCCATATGGGGCCATTTCGAGTGCCAACTGCCCCACTTCCAATCTAGCTTCCTGCTAATGTGCCTGGGAAAGCAGTGGAGGGTGGTCCAGATGCTTGGGCTCCTGTACCCATGTGGGTATAGGTAGAAGCTCCTGGCTCCTGGCTTCAGCCTGGCCCAGCCCTGGTCATTGCAGCCATTTGGGGAGTGAACCAGTGAGTGGAAGACCTCTTTATCTCACTCTACTTCTCTCTGTAACTCTGCCTTTCAAATTAAAAAAAAAATTTTTATAAGTTAATTTACTTTGTGTATTTGAAAGAGCCATGGAGAGAGTGAGAGAGAGAATGAGATCAGCAGAGCTGGGACTAGAACCCTTATCCCTGATAAGGGATGCGGGCATCCTAAGCAGAGGCTTAATCATTCACTCTGCCAAACATCCATCCCCTTACTTTTTTTTTTTTTTTTTTGACAGGTAGAGTTAGAGAGAGAGAGAGAAAGGTCTTCCTTTTTCTGTTGGTTTACCCCCTAAGTGGCCGCTAAGGCCTGCGTGTTGCAGCCGGCGCACTGTGCCGATCCGAAGCCAGGAGCCAGGTGCTTCCTCCTGGTCTCCCATCGGGTGCAGGGCCCAGGCACTTGGGCCATCCTCCACTGCACTCCCGGGCCACAGCAGAGAGCTGGACTGGAAGAGGGGCAACCGGGACAGAATCCAGCAGCCCAACCGGGACTAGAACCCAGGTGCCGGTGCCGCAGGCGGAGGATTAGCCTAGTGAGCCGGGTCGCCGGCCCATCCCCTTACTTTTGAATAACATATGTGTTTTTATGGAGTATGGGACAATATTTCAATGTATGTATAGAGCATAAATTGATCAAATGAGGTAATTAGCATTTCCATTCACTTTTTTTCTCTTGCTCTTGATTTTTAGGTTCCTCTTAATTCGTTTAAAAGAATTTTGTGGAGAATTTCTTAAGAAAAAACTCCATCTTTCAAACTGTGTGGCCATTCATAGCTTAGCTCACATGTACACCCTGAGCCAGCTTGCTCTGAAAGCTGCCGATATGATACGGAGAAACTTCCACAAAGTCATTCAAGATGAGGAATTTTACACTTTACCCTTCCATCTCATTCGAGACTGGCTTTCGGACTTGGAAATTACGGTTGATTCTGAGGAGGTCCTCTTTGAAACGGTTTTGAAGTGGGTTCAGAGAAATGCTGAAGAAAGAGAAAGATACTTTGAAGAACTCTTTAAGTTACTCAGATTGTCCCAGATGAAACCTACCTACCTGACTCGGCATGTCAAACCAGAGCGGCTCGTGGCCAGTAACGAAGTTTGTGTCAAGTTGGTGGCCGACGCGGTGGAGAGGCACGCTCTGAGAGCTGAGAATATACAGTCTGGCACCTTCCAGCTTCCTGCTTCTCATGTCTCGTTGTTACCTCGCTATGGGCAAAACATGGATGTGATTATGGTTATTGGAGGTGTGTCAGAGGGAGGGGACTATTTAAGTGAATGTGTGGGATATTTTGTTGATGAGGACAGATGGGTAAACCTACCCCATATCCATAATCACCTTGATGGACATGCTGTTGCCGTAACAGAATCCTATGTGTATGTTGCTGGATCGATGGAGCCAGGGTTTGCCAAAACTGTGGAAAGGTATAACCCAAATTTGAACACATGGGAACACGTCTGCAGTCTAATGACGAGAAAGCATTCTTTTGGACTAACAGAAGTCAAGGGGAAGCTCTACAGCATTGGAGGCCATGGCAACTTTAGCCCTGGCTTTAAAGATGTCACTGTTTATAATCCCGAACTCGATAAATGGCACAACCTAGAATCCGCACCAAAGATTCTTCGAGATGTGAAAGCGCTCGCCATCGAAGACCGGTTCGTGTACATTGCTGCCCGTACTCCTGTGGACCGGGACACTGAAGACGGCCTGAAGGCTGTAATTACTTGCTATGACACAGAGACACGACAGTGGCAAGATGTGGAATCTTTGCCACTTATTGACAATTACTGCTTTTTCCAGATGTCTGTGGTCAATTCGAACTTTTATCAGACAGCGTCATGCTGTCCTAAGAGTTATTCTTTAGAAAACGAAGAGGCAGTGAGGAAAATTGCCAGCCAGGTGTCTGATGAGATCCTCGAAAGCTTGCCTCCAGAGGTCCTGAGCATTGAAGGGGCTGCCATTTGCTATTACAAAGATGATGTCTTCATTATCGGAGGCTGGAAAAACAGTGACGACATTGACAAACAGTACCGGAAAGAAGCCTACCGGTACTGCGCTGAGAGAAAGAGGTGGATGCTGCTTCCTCCCATGCCGCAGCCCCGATGTAGAGCCACTGCGTGCCACGTGCGGATCCCCTACCGCTACCTGCATGGCACTCAGAGATATCCCATGCCTCAAAACCTAATGTGGCAGAAGGACCGCATCAGACAGATGCAAGAAATACATCGGCACGCCCTGAACATGCGGCGCGTGCCAAGCTCGCAGATCGAATGCTAGGTTCTCGAATACGTGCAGCTTAAAACTGGCGTCCGTGCTTCAGGAGGCTGAAGCTCTCCAGACTGTTACTTGAAAAAGTATGTCAGAAACTTATTTTCTGCCTGAACTGATTCTGACCCCGTAAATAGGAAGTATAGTTAAGACTGAAGAGTGGGGAGTTCAAAACTGATAACGTGTTAGCTTGCGATCTTTATCAGCTTTGCTTTTTGTACGTGCTGACCGAAGAAGAGCTTATTAAAGACAAGTGGAAAAACTAGGTGTAGTTACTCGGCTGTTTTTCTGCCAACGAGTTAGAAGTCCTTTGTGTAAGGGACTTGGGTTTGAACATGCTTTATGCATCATTCTTATTTGCACTTTTGCTTTGATACTTCTATTCATTTCTTCCGGAATGGTTGGTTTTGACAAGGTCAGAATCGAGCCCTCATCTGCAGGAGGTGTGTGCAATAGCAAGACTGAAATTTGAAGGAAAAAGCACAATATTTCAGCAAGATGATTTCAGAATGTTTGCATTGGCATTTTGTTGTGTGTGTCTATCTAGAACCGCTATTTAGTTCATTTCTAGAAGGAGGTGACTGAGGAGATGTTTGGGATTGGCTCATGCTTTTTTAAAATATTGTTCCTTAAATATATTTCCTTAACAGCTTATGGACTTCAGGTCCTTTCTCTGAGATGATGTAATTGGTGACCGTGTGAGCTGATTCAGTACAGGGGAAATCACATATGTGCAATGTGTTTAAAGAAGAAAAGCATTAGAACAGGTTGAGAAATCAAAGGCATCTGAAATTTAAAATCACTTTTTGCAGCAGTTGCAGGCTCCAGGATATGTCAGTGAGTATAAATAATGCCTATGACAATCACCACTCAATGCCTTCCATTTTAATTTTTGCTCTAATGCATATTGTGTAAACTCTTCATCATTCCTTCCTAAAAAGAAACTATTTTTTCAAAATGGGAGAGAAGTAACAGTTTAGAGAAATATTGCTGAAGAAAATCCTTATTATTTTTGGCCCTGATTATCATAACGTTTATTCATTGCCATTGACTTCTATCCGAATTTTGCCTGAGCCTATGATACCTAAATTTGGGTGTATAATTTAGGCTCTTAAAAATTTATCACCATGGTTATTTTTATTTTTGTGTATTTTTAAGAGATTAATTTATTTATTTGAAAGGCAGAGCAACAGAGAGAAAGAAAAAGAGATTTTTCTATCCACTAGTTCACCTCCCATATGGCCACAGCAGCCCAGGTCTAGGCCAGGCTGAAGCCAGGAGCCAAGAACTGTATCCTGGTACTTCACATGGGTGGCAGAAGCGCAAGCACTTGGGCCATTTCTACTGCCTTCCCTGGCACATCAGCAGGAAACTGGATTGGAAATGGAGTAACTGGGCCTTGAACCAGCACTCCAGTATGGTATGCTGGTGGTGGCAAGCATCGGCTTAGCCCATTGTGCTAGGATGCCGCAGAGCGTTCTTCTGCTTCTCTTACGCACTCCTATACTTTATTGTGGGTTAACCCTCAGGTTAACTCTTTGAGCATTCATTTAGTCTAAAGGACCCCTAACAGTTTGCAACAGGGATCCACTGCATTTTTCTTGTTGCTTAAATTAGACATTCCAGAATACTGTTCACAAAGTCAAATTCCAAACACAGTGATTCATTACAGTTAACCTGATTAGTTGTGTGATGAAACTTCAAAGAAAAAAAGCACAACCAGAAATTTTGGCTTGTTGTATGCTGCAAGACTGTTAATGTTCTCGTCCTTGGATGGTATACTAGAGCTTTCCTGAAATTTCTAAATTGGTATCTCTACCTAGGACAAGAATTTTTAATGTGTTGAGAATATGCTTCATTTAGCCTAGAATCGGGTGGGAAACTGCCCGCTGTTTCTACATAAGGATACATTATCCTACCCGCCCTCCCCACCTCTTTCTCAGTTTCCCTTTCTTTGTAGTAACCTCATAGCAGCTGTTTGTACTGTGAGTGGCTTTGATTCTTAGTTATGGCAGATCTTTGGAAGCGAGATGGAATCATCTAACGAGGCTCATGGGCTGAAGGCCTCATTTCTGATAGACCATGCTGGCACACTTCTTCCCTTGGTTGTGTTCAAGTAATTGAATATCTCACTAAGATGCCAGTTTTTATCCTAAAAGGTGTAATTTGTTTTGTGTCGGATTATCTGGTCTCAGGGTTGTCTTCTGAGATTATCATGCCCAGTTTATTTGTAGAGTTTGTTTTTTTTCCTCACATGATGTGACAGAAATTCTAACTCAAGATTGAGGTATAATCTGGTTTGAAAAACCTGATCAAAACTTATTTTTTAACTCAGCAGGTAGCGTAGGCCATGGCTGAAAAGAAGGGGTAAGTCCTTCATTGCATGATGTGTGCAGAGTCTCCTGACTACTGAATGTCTGATTTTCATATTTGAATTCACATGTGTGACTTCACATTAATAACTTGTGCTTCTGAAATATCCTGACTAACTTGTTAATAAGGAGAGAAGCCAGATTTGCTGAAATCTGTTCAAGACTGACATTCTGAAACTCAGTTTAAACTGGAAATAACTTCTTAGAGTATTTGAGATGGTTGGTCAGGCCTAAAATAGCTCTTTTGAAAGCTTGAATATTGTATTTGGCAATTTAATCTATTAAAACACAGCTTAGTGTGTGTGCAGTCAAGCTAACCTTAATGTTATTGCTTTTTCTTGGGTGAAAGAGAGAAAGAGAGGACTTACACCAAAAAGGAATAACTGTGCATGACTTTGAAGGAGCTACATGGATCTCAGAATGTGTACCCTTTACCTCCCCAGCCACGTGTTGAAAACGTGTGATGTGTGTCGAGAATGTCAGTCATGAGTGTGGTGTTTCACGTCTCCCTTGCAGTGCTGCATGGTTAGACTGTGTACCCTGATCCTCACCTATATTTTTTTGCTGTGCAAGTTCAAAAAACATATCTGCTGAAAACTTCTAAAATTCATTGGTAAGAGTTGTGTTTGTTTTGATTACCTGCTTTTGTAGGGTATTTCTGGGACCAAACAATTGAGCAGTATAGGACAGAATTTGCAAGTGAAAGTGTCTCTGGAAGATCTGAGCGCTTTGTTTTTTAAGCCCTTTAGGCAATTTCTAGGGCACTCTTTTTTTCCCCTTTCTCTTGACTAGTGTAGCATGTGGCTCCTTTAAAAAACTTCACTTTCTGCTCTTAATGCTAATACCAACACTATACTATAAATAGACTAGTGAACTGAATTGTGTCTTTTAGTTACTTGATCTCATCAAGCATAACTAAAGGGACTTTTTGAATACTTACCTCCAATTAAGCTTCAATTAAAAGGGTATTTGTTGTCCACATTTCGTGTCTTTGAAAATACACAGTAATGTTAAGCAAATACTCTGCCTACACTAGAAAAATAGGGTGCTTTAACTGTAGACTATTTGAGAATTCAGTCTCTCCTTAACTGTCAAACATTTTGGCCCAGTTGTTACTTCAGTTTGTTACTTTTGTGAATGTGAATAGTCTGTGTTTGTTGTTGTTATAATGATTATATTATGACATGTCTGGTCTTTGGAAACAAAACAGCTCATAGTGAATGATGTAACACAATAACAGTAACCTGACATAGGTCATTTAACTTCCAGGAATTTAGTTAGTTACCCAGCTGGCCCAGTTGCTGCTTTGTTGATTGCCTTTGTGGGCTTTTGTCTGCCCTGCCCGGCCGCCTCCTGCTGTCTTACCTGGAAGCACATACATAGAGCTCTTGTTGAACTTGACCTCCTGCATCACATGCTTGTGAGCTGTAGTGCTTGCTAGACGCTTGAAGATCTTGCCACCGTGTGCTAGGGCTCGTTGAGTTACTTGTAAAATACTTAGTTTGAGTTGATTACAGTGAATTTGGGGGCCAGCAGTACACAGGCCCCTGTTCTACTGAAAATGTGTTCCTGTCTTCCTGTAAGTCAAAGAGTTGTAGTATTTAGATCACTTTGAACCACATTGTAAAATAGCCTGTTTTATGTTGCTGTAGCTGTCTTGTTCTGTGTTAAAGATACTAATTGTCTCAATATGAGTTTTAAATAAACATATTTCTGTAGAGCTGGCTGCACTGTGATTTTTTTTCCCTTTAATTATGCAGCTGAATGTAGTTGCCTTCTTCCCTCCTGCTCCCTCATTCATCCAACCCTTGACTCCCTTAAGTTGAACATTTTTCAGTACTCTTACAAGTTTAAACACTGAATTTATTTAAAAAAAGAATTAATTCTTATTGCTTAGACTTTTTATTAGCTAATGAAGAGACTCATACAGGTAGGGTACTTGTCGAAGCAGAATACTTTACTTCATCTCGCAGTGCTAACCCTGTGAAGTTGTCCCGTCTCGCTGCATATTCCCCCACGTTGGCCAGCCCCGGTACCACACAGCAGCTCAGGGCACTGCGGTAGATGCTCATGTCATGAGCGTCATACCACTCGTCGGTCTTCTCGTCGTAGCACTCGACATTAAAGGTGGTGGTAAAGCCATTGAAGCCACCCACTACGAACAGGAGGTCGTCCACCACCTCGATGCCAAAATTGCTGCGGGGATTGAACATAGTGGGGATCGTGCGCCAGGTGTTGGCCACTGGGCTGTAGGCTTCTGCACTCCTGAGTCGATTTGCTCCATCAAAGCCGCCTACCTGTGGACAGTAAAAGCACTCAGTTGACTTTCCCTATTGCTTCTCTTCACTGAGGAATTTCACGCCTCCATCTGCCTTAGAAAAGCAGAAAACTCCAGTGGTGGCGTAGGCCTGTTCCTGGTGAGGGACTCACCGCGTACACGTGTTCTCCATAAGCAATGACGCCTATTCCACTCCTCCTGCTTCTCATGGGCGCTATGACTGTCCACTGATTGCTCTCAGTGTTGTACACTTCTGCTGTAAACAGGCATTCGTTACCGTTAAACCCACCACATATGTAGACCTGTGTGAAGAATGTCCAATATTACTCCAGTCACCTCTGGGGAGTGGAAAGAAAGGGAGTGTGTGTGTGGCATTACTTGTAATGCCAGTCTTTAGGCTCTGAATTTTTTTCCATTTGTGCATGCAGTATTTCTGGTTTTGGTTTTTATTTTTTTTTTAATATTTATGTGACAGATCATCCATCTGCTGGTTCACTCCCCAAATGGTTGCAATAGCCAGGTCTGGGCCAGACGGAAGCCAGGAGCCTAGAATTCCATCCAAGTCTCACACAGGATGGCCCCAAGCACCCAGGCCGTCATCCACTGCCTTCCCAAATGCATTAGCTGAAAGCTAAATCAGAAGTAGCCAGCACTCAAACTGGCACTCCAGTGTGATGCTGGCATTGCTGGGGGTGGCTTAATGTGGTGTGCCACAACACCAGCCCCATGCATTGTCTTTTTTTAAATAAGTAAAAAATTGCCACTTAATCATTTGAGGAAGAAATGAATACAGTGGGCTTTCTGTATCTCTGGTTTGCACAATTGTGATTCAACCTATTGTGGATCAAAAATATTCAGATAAAAATTGCATCTGGGGGGCTGGCACTGTGGCACAGTGAGTTAAAGCCCCTGTGTGCAGCGCCAGTACCCCATATGGGCGCCAGTTGAAGTCCCGGCTGCTCCTCTTCCGATCCAGCTCTCTGCTATGGCCTGGGAAAGCAGTAGAAGATGGCCCAAGTGCTTGGGCCCCTGTACCTGCGTGGGAGACCTGGAAGAAGCTCCTGGCTCCTGGCTTCAGATCAGCTCAGCTTTGGCTGTTGCAGTCATTTGGAGAGTGAACCAGCAGATGGAAGGCCTCTCTCTGGCTCTACCTCTCTCTGTAACTCTGTCTTTCAAAGAAATAAAATAATTCTTTAAAAAACAACTTTCATCTGGGCTGGTGCTGCCTGGGACACACATCCCATATTCCTGGGCGTGAGTCCTCCCTCTGCTTCTGAGCCAGCTTCCTACTAAAGTTGGGTCCCTTCATCCTCATGGGGCACTCAGGTTCAGTTCTGGGCTCATGGCTTCAGCCTGCCCCAGCCCTGGCTGTTAGGCATTTGGGAGTGAACCACTGGACAGAAGATACTTCTGTCTCTGCATTTCAAATAAAATTTACACATTTTTTTTTAAATAGTGTCTGTCCTGGGGCTGGTGAGTGGCACAGCAGGTTAAGCTGCTGCACGGCATCCCATATGGGCACCAGTTGGAGTCCTGGCTGCCCTGCTCCCCATCTAGCTCCCTGCTAATGCACCTGGGAAAGCAGCAGAAGGTGGCTCAAGTGCCTGGGCCCCGGCACCCACGTGGGAGACGCTCTAACACCTTTTCACATAACATCTGCATTGTATTACCTAATACAAGTAACCGAGGAGGTGATTTGAAGTACACGAGAGGGTGTGTGTGTTTCATGCAAATACCATGCCAACAGGGACTTGAACATCTGCAGATTTTGTTGTCTCAGGAGGTCCTGGAGCCGAGCCCCTGGGGCTGCCAAGGGACCCTGCACTGCAGAGTGAGTTCTCGCCCTTTGGTTTTCCACCCACACTAAAACAGGAGGTGAGCATTTCTGGGCTTTGTTCCGTGTCTTCCTCCCCCGCCCTGGTTCTTTACCTTCCCATAGAGTGTTGTGGCGCTCGCATCACTCCTCTGCTCGTGCATGGGGGCAATGAGCGTCCACTGGTTGGTCTCTGGTTCATACCGTTCAGCGGTGTTGAGACGCACATAGCCATCGAATCCTCCCATGGCATAAATGAAGTTGCTGAGGACTGTCACGCTGACATAGCAACGTCTGGAGTGCATTGGGGCCACCTGGTGCCAGGTTTTCTTTACTGGGTCAAAACGCTTAACACTATTAAAGTAGTCTACACTATCGAACCCCCCAATGATATACACGTAGCCCTTCAAATAGGCTGCCCCATGGTAGGCACGGGGACTCTCTTCCTCACAAGTGACATTCACCCATCTGTCTGCCCGGGCATCATATGCCTCAATGGCATTGGTGGGGCTCCCGCCACTCCAGCCACCGATGGCAAATAAGATGGCATAGGGCAGGCGGGGCCTGGTGAGTGGGTTGGTGAAGTCGGAATTAGAGGGTCCATTCATGTTCAGGTCATACATGGCCTTAAGGGCATTAATGATGACTGGCTTGCATTCCTCACTGTCTTTGACGTAGTCATTCATCTTAACATTGTTCATGAAGTACTCGGCGTGCATTAGGGCCAGGCGAACCTGAGAAGGAAATACAGAAAGTCATTCAGACGAGGTGAAAGGATCCAGAAGATACTTGGATTTGCTTTCTAATCCTGTAACATACGGTTTAACTATCTGGGGGGAGGGGCCCAATTCGGGTGCCAAGAATGCAGTAGATGGAAGGCCCCTGCACTGGCCTGGAGAAAGAGGCTATAATGATTGTATGTGTGTTTCTGTATTAAAACCACACTGATTAGCATTGACTGCCTACACCTGTGTGATAACTCAGGCTTTGGTTTCCAGTCCAACCTCTACCCTGGACGTAGGGAATCTCAGAATGGGGAAAAAAAAAGCAAGGCCCTCTCCTTCCCCTACCACCAGGAAAAATTCTGGTTAAAGAAGGAACTGGCAATGCCAAGGGAACAGAAATTGGCCAGATTCCACGGGGGGAGTAGGATGTCCCTTCTGTCTGAAACCATGCAGCTACAGCCCTGGAATCTGCCATGCTTCTGGCTGCAACTCTTAGGAGTTTACTCTTGATTCATTTACCCACTGGGTACATTTACCCCTCTGGGGTAAATGAATCAAGAGTAAGCCATTAAGCATTCACCAAAAAAAACTAAACTTGACCTTGGGAAGCAAAACTGAAATGTGCTGCTTCCTATTTTGGGGGTCATGAGAAATCCACTTTAGAATGGCCTCGAACACAGCGTCTTCCTGTTTGACGTTCAGTTCGTCTTTCTCAATGATATCCTTGAGTTCAGTGACCGAGAGCTCTAAAAACTCTGCTGAGACTTTCACCATCTCCTCGAAGTTGTGCAGTATGAACATGTAGGCCTTCTGCCTCAGCTCAGGGCAGTAGTAGTAGTCGGTGAACTTGCAGATGCCGATACAGTTGTCCAAACACAGCTCCGACTTGAGGAACTCGCAGCAACCCCTGACGATGCCCATGATGTTGAACTGGTCTGCAGCAGCCAGCAGCTTCTCCACGTTGTCCGGTGTGATGGGCACGGTCCGGGTGTACGCGTACTCGATGATCAGCTTCATCATGTCGGGGGAGATGCCAGGAATGTTATATACCTTCTTCTCGGTGTTGTTCCAGCCACTTGTAAACAAAGCTCTGGGGAAAAAGAAACCAGCGGCCATGAAATCGCTCTCGCCTGTTTGCCGCCTCTCCCCTGCCCTGCCCCACTTTCTCTTGTGAGTTTGGACGTTTCCCAAGTATGCACAGTGAGTATGCTGGGAATAAACTGGCCTGAGGAGGCAGGGTGCAGGCGTGCTGTGTTACACAGTGAGCGAGTGAGAAGACGACCTTTCTAAGAGCCTTGGACCCTTCTCACCTCACTCTCATGACCACGGTCTTTTTTCCATTTCCTGGATGGAGGAAATGAGATTGAGAACTGGGAATAAGGCTCCAGTCTCTTCTGTCTCAACGCATCACTCTTGCTTATGGAAACTGAATTGAGCAATATGCTTTATGGTGGGTTTTTTTTTAAAAGATTTTATTTATTTATTTGAGAGGTAGAGTTACAGAGAGAGAGAGAGAGAGAGGGAGAGACAAAGAGAAAGGTCTTCCATCTGCTGGCTTACTCCCCAAATGGCCGCAACAGCTGGAGCTGGGCCAATCTGAAGCCAGGAGCCAGGAGCTTCTTCCAGGTCTCATCCGTGGGTGCAGGGGCCCAAGGACTTGGACCATCTACTACGCCACAGCACCAGCCCCAAGCAATATGTTTTTTAAGTATCACTCTGGGCAGGCATTATGGCACAGCCAATTAAACTGCTACCACAAGCCATATCAGAGTTTGGGTTTGAGTTCCAGTTACTCTGCTTCTGATCTGGCTCCCTGCTAATGCACCTGGGAACAGCAGACGATGGCTTAAGTACTTGAGTTTGTCATCCATGTGAAAGACCTGATCTAGTTCCTAGCTCCTGGCTTTGGCCTGGCCCAGCCCCAACTGTTGCAACCATTTGGGAAATGAGCCAGCAGATGGAAGATCTCTGTCTGTCACTCTGTCTTTCAAATAAATAAATCTGGGGCCGATGTTGTGGCTTAATGGTTTCAGCTGCCTCCTGCAACGCTGGCATCCCATATCGTTGTGTTTGAATCCTGGCTGCTCCACTTCTGATACAGCTCCCTGCTAATGTGCCTAGGAAAGCAGCGGAGGGTGGCTCAAGCCCTTGGGCTCCTGCACCCATGTGGGTGACCTGGATAAAGCTCCTGGCTTCTGGTTTCCACCTAACACAGCCCAAGCCATTGCAACCATTTGGGGAGTGAACCAGCAGATGAAAGATCTCTGTCTCCCTCTCTCCCTGTGACTCTGCCTTTCAAATAAATAAAATAAATCTTTAAAATAAATAAATTTTAAAACACATATCATTCAATTAACCCAGATCCAGAATCTGATCACTTCTCACCTTTTTATTGTTATCTCCTGGTCTAAGCCACTACATCTCTTATCTAGATTCTCCTCCTAACTCAGCTGCCTGCCTCTGCCCTTGACACCTCCAGAGGTCATGGTCTTATCCCAGCAGCCAGAATGATCCTTACATGAGTTTGCACTCCTCCTCTATTCAAAGCCTTCCACTGGCTTCCCTCTTACTCAGAGTGAAATACAAAGTCCTCACCAAGAACTACAAAAGCCCTCTGCCATCTGGTCCACCTTCTGCTTTCTCTGTTCCAGTCCTGCTGGCCCCTGGCTGTTCCTTGGAGCTCACCAGAGGTGCTTCCAGCCTTAGTCCCTAGTACTTTGGGTCTTTGGTCCCTTTGCCTGGAAGGCTCTCCTGTCCTGGATCTCTGCATTTCCCACCCTCTTGTCCCCTTCAAGTCCTTGCTCAAATATCATGTTGTAGGCGAAATCCTGTGAATCCTGTGAAAGCTGGCCCTGCCCCAGCACTGACCTGATGCATACTTTACTCACTTTGTGTCTTTTGCTTCCACTAGAAATAAGCTTCAGGAGACCCTGTGTATCCATTGTTTTCTCTCCAGTACCCAGGGTAGCACCTGTCACAAACTAAGCACCTCATAATCTCAGTTGAATGAATACGTGGCTGTCAGTCCACAACTATTTATTGGACTCCTACTATGGAGCTGTGTGCTTTTCTACGTATTGAGCAAAACGAAGTCCATGCCCTATGATGCCACTTCAAATGGAATAAAAATGGAAGCTCATTTTGACACAGAATTTTTTGAAACCCATGCATACCAGGAGTTCACAGAAAATGTCTATTATGCATTGATTTCTAATTTTTTGCACCCAAATTTATCTTTTTTTTTTTTTTTTTTTTTGACAGGCAGAGTGGACAGTGAGAGAGAGAGACAGAGAGAAAGGTCTTCCTTTTCTGTTGGTTCACCCTCCAATGGCCGCCGCTGGCAGGATCCGCCAGCTACCTGGATCTGATGGCAGGAGCCAGGTGCTTCTCCTGGTCTCCCATGAGGTACAGGGCCCAAGGACTTGGGCCATCCTCTACTGCACTCCCTGGCCACAGCAGAGAGCTGGCCTGGAAGAGGGGCAACCGGGACAGAATCCGGTGCCCCGACCGGAACTAGAACCCGGTATGCCGGCGCCGCAAGGCGGAGGATTAGCCTAGTGAGCCGCGGCGCCGGCCCAAATTTATCTTTCAATCTACTTTTTAAAATACCCTCTTATTTTCCTCCTTTTCCTAAGAAGTTTAAAGATACATGCCCTTGGAGATGAAACTTTTTCTCTAGCACAGAGGCCTGCACACCCACGCCCTCTGGGCCAAATTCAGCCCCCTACCCTTTGCACTGCCCTCAAAAATGTTGTTTTTCATGTTTTTAAATTCTTAGGGGAAAAGGTCACAAGAGTATTTTGTGCCATCTAAAAATTACAATAAAGTCAAACTCCAGAGTCTGTGAATCTCACTGGAGCACCTGCCCTGTAAGTGCTGCCTACGGCTGCTTTTGCCTTGTGAAAGCAGAGTCCAGTGGTTTCAACAGACACTGGCCCAGGAGCCTCAACAGCACTGGCTGCTCTTCTCTGTGGCCCTGGCCCTGGGAGCCGGCTGAATGAGAATTTTAGCAACTGGTGGGACACATCTATCGTTTTCATTGGAACGGATGATTCAAACATTTTAAAGTCTTGAACAAAATAGCCCTTCCACTTCCCAAGTTAAAATGGTTTGAGCCTGAATTCACCCTTTTTTCCCCCCGTAAGTGTTTCCTGGGTACTTCCCCCACCCCTCTTGTGTTCCCTCAGGCCTTGTTAATCTGCTCCCGGTCTGAGATGCTGTCTGCGGAGGCGGGGCAGCCTTAGCAGCGCTGCCATCTGAGTGTAAGCAGGAAATCCAGGAGGGGTGTCCAACCTTCCCAAAGGCGGTTTTGGGGTTAAGAATCAAAGTAGCACCTGGCCCACCACTTTGGTGGGAACCAGTTGAAAAATCAGAGGAAAGAGGCTCCAGGAACCCAGAGCTTTGACTGTCCCCATGCCTAGGATCGTGGGGGCGGCACGGCTGCTGTTCGGCACAGCAGCTTAAGTCGATACCGGCATCGTATCAGAGTGCCTGGTTCAAGTCCCACCGCTCTGCTTCTGACCCAGCTTCCTGCTAGTGCGGACTGTGTGAGGCAGCACAAGATGGCTCAGGTACTTGGGTCCCTGCCACCCACATGGGAGACCCAGATGGAGCTCCCAGCTCCTGGCTTCTGCATGGCTCAGCCTTGGCTTTCAAGAGCGAACCAGCAGATGGAAGCCCTGCCTCTCTGCCAATCAAACAGAAAGGAGAAAATGAAGAGGGGGCGGGAAACATGGAGTGGGTCAGACGGTCTGGAGAGGAGCGCTGTTCCCCCTTCAGCTGAGTCGGGCACCCCTGCCGTACCTAAAGTAGGAACTGCAGCTACACAGGATGTTCTTATGGGCATTGAACTCGAAGCCATTGACCTTGATGACCACGTCGCAGAGCTTGCCCTCCAGCCTAAGCTCGTTGAAGATCTCACAGGTCATCGCGCTCATCTTCCTCTCCATGTGAGGCTGGTGGAACCGTGCGGAGGCCGCCGTGCTCTCCATCTCCATGGCACCCTGGGACCAGCGGAGAGAGGCTGCTCTCCTAGGGTGTTGGGGAGGATTGTGGGGGGGCCCCTTTAGCCAGCTGTCGCTCCTTTTCCCTACTACATCTTTCATATAGGGCCCATCAGGGAGCCCAAGTTCCAGAATCCCAGGCCGGCAGTGAGATCACTCAGGATTGTGCTCTCGGGTTCTGGAACTCCCTGCTGGGCCTGCCCCCTAAACCCCCCTCCCCCCCACCACTTGGGCCAGAGACCACCCCACACCTCCTTCCTTGCCCATTCTCCAGCCCAGAGCAGAGCTGGGACCATCAACACCTCCTGAGGGTTTTTCTTGACTCTACATCCTGTTGACCATTTCAGGCCGCCCAGGTTGGTGTCCCTGCAGCTTGTCTTCACCTTCCATGGAGCCACACACACCCTGAGCTCACAGAAATCCAGGCCTGGAGAGAAGGGAGAAGCACACGTGATTAACTTCCATCCTGGCCCAGCCTTCAGGGATTCCAGCCCCCCGACGTGTCCGTCAGGCCCTGTGTTTCTTCTGTGTCTGGATGCTTCTCAGAATTCACCGGATGGCTCCTTCCACCTGGTGGGTTTCCTTGTGAGTCAATCAGAGAGATGAGAGAGAACTCCACTCACCGATTCAATCCCTGGGTGCTGCAAGTCAGGGCTGATGTGGCACATGGGGCAAGCAGTGGTTTCCAGTCCTGCCTCTGTGTTAGGGCCAGCCTCATGTACTTGGGTCGTTGCCATCCATGTGGGAGGCTCAGATGGAGTTCCTGGCCCTTGACTTCAGCCGAGTCTTTCTCTGGCTTTCAAATAAAAAATGAATAAACAGGCCAGCGCCACGGCTCACTAGGCTAATCCTCTGCCTTGCAGCGCCGGCACACTGGGTTCTAGTCCCGGTCGGGGCACCGGATTCTGTCCCGGTTGCCCCTCTTGCAGGCCAGCACTGCTGTGGCCCGGGAGTGCAGTGGAGGATGGCCCAAATCCTTGGGCCCTGCACCCCATGGGAGAACAGGATAAGTACCTGGCTCCTGGCTTCGGATCAGTGCGATGCGCCGGCCGCGGCGGCCATTGGAGGGTGAACCAATGGCAAAGGAAGACCTTTCTCTCTATCTGTCTCACTGTCCACTCTGCCTGTCAAAAAAAAAAAAAAAAAAAAAAAAAAAAAAAAGAATAAATAAGCATTTCCAAAATGGTGGGGGAGGGGGGAAGCAAGCCCAGAACTCAACCTGGGTCTCCCAAATGTATGGCTGGGACCCAGATACATGGGCCATTACTGCTACCTCCCAAGGTATGCATTAACTGGAATCGAATTGGGAGTGGAGCCGGGGCTCGAACATAGGCACTTAGATATGGGATGCGGGCATTCCAGCCCACACTGAATGGCTGTGCCAAACACCGGAAACATGGTTTGTTGTTACAAAATTTCAAGTCTGGAAATGACCTCTCTTGCCAGGTCTTTTGCTCCAGAATGAATGGCAGGAGCCCACCCAAGGCTCCTGGACACCACCCACGCAATCTCACCCTCTCGAGACCCTCACCCTCCTCACGATGCAACCTTTCACCGGGTCTCTGCGAGCCGCGCAACCCGCCCAGGGGGAGCCCGCGTGGCCAGCTCCAAGTCACTCCTTGGTCCCGCCCCCTCTGCTCCCTGGCCCCGCCCCCACCCGTGGGAGGCTGCGCCTGCGCAGTGCTGCCGCGCGACTGCAGTGTTGGCCATAGCCGCCCACCAGGCGGCGAGAGCGATGGCGGAGGAGGTGAGGTGGAAGGGGGCTGCCCATGTTGGGCGGTAACGGGCTTGGGTCCCCGGGGTGCTCAGAAGTCCCCAGCCGCGCCGTCGCGGCCCGCTGCCGCTCCCCACGCAGCCCGATCCGCCTCGCAGGGGCGTCCGAGGGAGCCCTGGCTCCCCCAGGGCCCTGCGCGGCCCCAGGGTCAGCGGGTCTCTCGGTCCCGGGACAGGTGAGCGCCCTGATGAAGGCCACGGTCCTGATGCGGCAGCCCGAGCGGGTGCAGGAGATCGTGAGCGCCCTCCGCCGGGGCGGTGGAGACCAGCTCCAGGTACCGCGGGGCTGGGGGCTGCGGTGGGCGGCGGGGAGTCTCCTCTCCGGGGGGGCGTCCCTTCCCGCTTGGCTTTGCCGCGGACGTCCGCTCGCCCCGCGCCTCCTCCACAAACGGTCGGGGTGCCTGGAGGCACGCACATGGGCTCTGTTATATCTTAATGTTAGCCGTTGCAAAGCACACCGGACACCGGAGTAAGGGAAAGGGTTTATTGGGGGAACACCCTACAGACCGGAGTGGAGGGGTGGCGAAGGAAAAAGAGAAAGAGAGAGAAACAGAGAGGAGAGGAGCTAGCAAGGAGAGAAGATAGTGCAGAGAAGAGAGAGGAGAGCAGAGCCAAGAGCCCAGAGGAGGAGGCTAGAGAGAGGAACCGAGAGAGAGCAGGAGAGAAGGGGCCAAGAGAAAGGAACCAAGAGCCAAGAGACCAGAGGAAGAGGCTAGAGAGAGGAACTGAAAGAGAGCAGGAGAGAAGGGCCAAGAGAGAGCACCTGTTCAGGAACAGGCCCTTTTAAAACTTTGCCTGAGGGCGGGCAGGGAAGCAGGAGCAGCTAATCCCATTAGGATGGGGGTGGAGCCTGGCTCAGGTAGCTGGGCCATTTGGCCACCTGGCTACAACTGCGCCAGTTTCCTAACATTCCCCCCTTTTGTTTTTTATAAAGCAGGGTTTGTATGGGATTACATTAGTCCCAAAAGTCCAAGAGGGGTAGAGGGACGATGATCTGTCTTTAGAGCTACTTCTGGCTGACATGGGACGATGTCTCAGGCCGCTGTCTCCTCGGTGGGGAGCCGAGTGCATCCCTGTAGCAGCATTTGGTTGACTGCCTGGTTGCTGAAGGCCTTCGTTTGTTCCATTATCACCTGCTGTAAACACTGTAGTATAGAAGACAGGGTGAGAATAGTAACCAATGATTCTAAGAGTAGCATTAACCAGGTAATAAGAGGATTTTATAGAGAGAAAATGGAGGGGTCTCTGGACCCTTGTGGGGACAGTTTGATGGATATAGCTTAAGCTGATTCCAGCCAAGACTGGGAGAAAGGCCACTAACTTGCAGGTAGTGGGGTTTGTCTGTAGAGAAATTTTGACACACAGGTTGGGAGTAGAGCCATTGGTGGTAGAGGTTATGATTACAAAGGAATGAGGCTCAAGTGGGCTAGATACAGAGGACAGAGTTGTTATTAGAGAAGCTAAGAAAGGTGCTATCTGAGCTACAACTAAGTTTTTTGATTGAGAGGCAAATGGAACCTGACCGAAGGGGCTTGATAATAATCAGGTGGGCTTTGAGGCCTTATAAATTATAAGGCCCAGACCTATCTATCGCTTCATAGGGTACATCCTACAGGAGGTGTGAACCTCCTTGGGGAAGGCACCCTGTTGACTTCCATTACCCAGCTGGCCTGGGAGGAGAGCTGGCCAGGTAAAGGCAGGTGGCAACTCCAACAGGAAATACACAGCTCTGCTTACAATGTTACTGACCCTACTTGGCCATTTCCTCAGTTGCAGTGGTCACTTTGAAAGCTGGGCCGAGTGAAGGGCTTTTCAGCTTAGAGCCAATAAGATCTGTGGCTCTGACCTGGGTGTCCTTCAACTCCAGGGCAGGTCCATTTCCAGTGATCCAACTCTTGGCTGGCAGAGCTGCCAGGGCTCTTCACAAGCTGACCTCTGCTGAAGCCCAGGCTTGCCACGTTGAAAGCCACTGCAGTGGACTGGCCTGTTGGGTCTCCTTGAGGGCAGATCACTGTACAGAATAGGCTGCCACCCATTGCTTCTGATGCCTAGCTTTCTTTTCCTCCTGGTTTTTGTTTAAGCAGACCAGAGGATGCACGTCAAGGGGGTGCTCAAGTCTCATCTCTAATCTTCTGTGGCCTAAACTAGAAGTCTGTAGTCACAGGCATGTTCTGTAGTAGTTTATGTTGAGGCAGACAATGCCCATGAGGAAAACTATATTCTTACTTTAAAACTTTCTTTCCCTTTGTTTTAAAAGGGAGGTCTTTTCTGTTTACTGTTTACCTCGCTGATGGCGAAGTAAATCTAGCTAGGAAATTATAATTTAAGCTCTTATTTTGGCTATGCTATTACAGAAATGTGTTAGCCATCTCTTTTATAAGATCTAAAATCAAATTTTGCATCTTGGAGATTCCTTCATAATAGAATTAGTTTCCTACCTCAAAGAGAACAGAGAAATGAAAGAACAAGTTGGGCTTAGACTAGAGAAATAGGGGTGCTAGTCCCAGATTGCTTACTGACAATAGCAATATCACATGAAAACTTAGAAAGCAATTTTAACCATTAGATAACAACTTAAAAAAACATTTGCCAGAAGGCCCAATGCCTTCCATAAATATTAATACATATGTTTGGAAACATCTCTTAAATATCTAACATGATGCAGCTTGTTTAACCAGCAAATTTAAGCACAAGCATATAAAATGTTTCTAGTTTTTTCTACCAACACACTTAAAACATCTGATAGAGATTCAGGTTACATGAATTAAAATATATCTGATTAATTTTAGCTGTTTAAATTTATGGACAGTCTTTTCTATAAGCCAATTAAAATTCTTAATAATTTTTTTTGATAGGCAGAGTGGATAGTGAGAGAGAGAGAGACAGAGAAAGGTCTTCCTTTTGCTGTTGGTTCACCCTCCAATGGCCGCTGTGGTCGGCACGCTGTGACCGGTGCACCACGCTTATCCGAAGGCAGGAGCCAGGTGCTTAGCCTGGTCTCCCATGGGGTGCAGAGCCCAAGCACTTGGGCCATCCTCCACTGCACTCCCTGGCCACAGCAGAGAGCTGGCCTGGAAGAGGGGCAACCGGGAAAGAATCCGGTGCCCCGACCGGGACTAGAATCCGGTGTACCGGCGCCGCAAGACGGAGGATTAGCCTAGTGAGCCGCGGCACCGGCCTAAAATTCTTAATAAATTTTCCCATGTAGACATACAATATATATAATAGACCAATATAGCAGTTTTAATATTTTTTTAAAAAAATCTAACTCCCGTTTGTAAATTACCAATTGATTTGAATTTTTGTTTTAGTAACCTTAGTTAACTATACTTTTTCTAAGTTGGTACCTTTAATATATTATTGGCTTCATCTGGTTACAGAGTCATTCCAAAGTACTGAATACAATACGTGGCTGGAAAAATTCCATCAGAACCGATAGAGGACAGCTAAACACAGAACCAACAATGCTTTAGTTTTATGAGCAATTCTGATATATAAAACTGTAGATGACAAGATTTTAAGTTGCCACATTTAAAATTATAAACTCATTAACCAATGAGAGGCATTTGCTTACTTCACAGTATTTTTGAAAGCACTTGTAGGATTTTACAAAGCATTTAACCCTTTAGGCCTCTGGGGCTTTCTCATTAAGATAACTGTTGTGCGGCGCCGGCACACCGGGTTCTAGTCCCGGTCAGGGCGCCGGATTCTGTCCCGGTTGCCCCTCTTCCAGGCCAGCTCTCTGCTATGGCCAGGGAGTGCAGTGGAGGATGGCCCAGGTGCTTGGGCCCTGCACCCCATGGGAGACCAGGAAAAGCACCTGGATCCTGGCTCCTGCCATCGGATCAGCGCGGTGCGCCGGCTGCAGCGGCGGCCATTGGAGGGTGAACCAACGGCAAAGGAAGACCTTTCTCTCTCTGTCTCTCTCTCTCACTGTCCACTCTGCCTGTCAAAAAAAAAAAAAAAAAAAAGATAACTGTTGTGTCTAGTAACACAAGATCATTAGACTTTTAAATTTTTAGACCTTTGTAGCAGTAGTATTTTATACTATAGACTTAAAATTTAGCACCACTTCACATCTTGACAGTACTTCTAATATAATCCAAATAGCCTGATTAGTTGGTGTCTCTACAAGATGAGAGACAGAGGTCCTTCGCTTTTTTCAGTTGGGCCCGAACTGGAAAAACCGAAGTCCAAAATTTACTGGAAATTTCAGAGTCCAAATTCTTTGAAACTTTGATTTTTGATTTTTTGAATGCCTGTCAAGAAGGCTCAAAATCCAAAATAACTGGTTGAAATAAGATTCCTTAACATCATGACACAATATAGACTAAATTTCATCATTGTTACAAGGTAATTATTTAAATGTTTGAAAATAAGCACATATTTAAATAACCCATAGCTCTTAATAAAAATTTAGCTGTTTTTAAACAATTAGAATTTAACACACATCAAGAGAACATAACAGATTACTTTAACTTATTGCTTTAACAGAGGATTAGATTCTAATTTTATGTCAAAGAGGAAAAGATTAGTATACTTGTGATGTTTTCCATCTGCCAATGTCCTTGATTTGCATTTTGATATAACCAATTAAAAATTTTCAGAGTAAGATTAAGGTGACACATCAAATTTCAGCCTGAGTTACTTTAAACAGTGTTGAACTATTTTCACAGTTAATAAACTAACCCAAATAGTTTTTTATAGAATATAACATGTTGAGCATACAAAAGTTTACATTTAGACACATTTTCCATTTGCCTTTACTCAATTTAAATTAGCAGTTACACCTAAATGACTTAGGATGCTGATATATTTTTATCTGAATTTAAGTTAAAATTGCATTCATCTAAGACAAGTACTAATTACCCATTGCTGTTTCATTGAGTACTGATTACCCGGAAACCTGTTAAAATAAACTGCAAAATAAGTTCAGCCAGTTACAAAGCAATAGTTTCAAAGGTAGTGGTATTCCTAGTGAAGAAGAATGACAGGGAGCCAGGTCCACGTGGGAAATCTGATTTTCCTGAGCCCTCAGAAGGGTGGGATACCTAATTTGTTCCTCAATAAGTAGGGAGCCCAAAAGGATGGGACTGCCATTCCCTTGCTATTCTTATGGTAAGACTGGGACAAGAGAGGGACAAAAGACCAGTTGGAGACCATGGAGCCGTTCCCAAACTGTTTAGACAGAGATAGCAGACTTTGGCTCTGAGGACTAGATGAGCAAGGGGCTTGAGAAGATGGAAGAGACTGCAGTGGAGGTGGGAGCAGAGGTTGCCCCCGCCCCCTGGAAGTCGGCAGGAGCAGGGAGGTGAGGACACAGCTGCCGCTTGGGGGATAATGGTGCTGGAACTTCAGCCGCTGAGGCCTCAGGAGGCAGCTGAGCCGGTGCCTGTAGGTTGGAGCAATAAGCGGGGGAGGGGGGGAGTTTATCTGCAGAATCAAAGGAGGTTGTGGTAGTGGCGGGAAAAGGATCTGGGAAGAAGAAAGGATTTTTTGCTCAGGCCTCTGACCCCTAGTGCGAATCTTGGAGACCAGAGGAGTTGAGTGGGAGAGCAAGAAGTACACAGGGAGCCGGCGCTGCGGCTCAATAGGCTAATCCTCCACCTAGTGGCGCCGGCACACCGGGTTCTAGTCCCAGTCGGGGCGCCGGATTCTTTCCCGGTTGCCCCTCTTCCAGGCCAGCTCTCTGCTGTGGCCCAGGAGTGCAGTGGAGGATGGCCCAGGTGCTTGGGCCCTGCACCCCATGGGAGACCAGGAGAAGCACCTGGCTCCTGCCATCGGATCAGCGCAGTGCGCCGGCCACGGCGGCCATTGGAGGGTGAACCAACGGCAAAGGAAGACCTTTCTCTCTGTCTCTCTCTCACTGTCCACTCTGCCTGTCAAAAAAAAAAAAAAAAAGTACACAGGGAAGTTTTAGTTCTAAGATAGGAAAAGGCCTGAACATATGGAATCCCCTTCCATTTCAGGGTCAAACTACTCTGACTTCCGATCCCTCAGGGCCAAATGTGCCACCATAGAGGGCCACTTTGGAGGGCTGGGGCCAATTTGAGAGGGACCATATTACTTAAAAGGCAACCAAGAGGAGAATCAGATGGAACTTGGGAGGAGGAATTTCCCATGGCGACTCAGTAGGTCAGATTGGTGGACAGCAAGCGTCCTTGAAGTCCTGGCCGTCTGACTAGGAGAGGAATGGGAGCAGTAGGCGGGGTCGTCACCCAAGTGCCCACTGGAGTCCAGGGCCTAGCCTGTAAAGAGGCGAACAGAGATGGAGTCGTCACTTGCAACCACTGTTGCCTGGACACAGTGTCCGTAGAGGCTAAAGGCCTTTAGTAGAAGTAGGAGTGGTGGCTAGAGTCCAGTGCTATGACCTTTAGGAGAGTAGTCAGGCGAGTATCCGACTGTAGACCACCACTCAAATAGCAGTCGCCGTGAGAGCTTCCTGTTCTGCGTCTTACCTCAAAATTTGGAAGGCCGATGTGTGGATGGAGGTTGCGCAGTGTTCGGTGGCTTGGAAACAGTTCCGGAGGTGTGCTTCGCGACCGGCAAAAATCCAGGACCCCAGAGCACTGGGGGACGCTGGATTACCAATATGAGGCTATCCGAGTCACAGCACCAATGTTAGATCTTAATGTTAGCCGTCGCAAAGCACACCGGACACTGGAGTAAGGGAAAGGGTTTATTGGGGGAACACCCTGCAGACCGGAGTGGAGGGGTGGCAAAGGAAAAAGAAAGAGAGTATAAGAGAGAAACAGAGAGGAGAGGAGCTAGCAAGGAGAGAAGATAGTGCAGAGAAGAGAGAGGAGAGCAGAGCCAAGAGCCCAGAGGAGGAGGCTAGAGAGAGGAACTGAGAGAGAGCAGGAGAGAAGGGCCAAGAGAGAGCACCTGTTCAGGAACAGGCCCTTTTAAAACTTCGCCTGAGGGCGGGCAGGGAAGCAGGAGCAGCTAATCCCATTAGGATGGGGGTGGAGCCTGGCTCAGGTAGCTGGGCCATTTGACCACCTGGCTACAACTGCACCAGTTTCCTAACAGGCTCACTTGCCCGGGTGGAGTGAGCCCACCTGTCCCAAAGCCTGCCCTTCACAGTGCTCTCTGGGATTTCCCGGGGCTGGGGAACCTCTTTTCTTTCAAAGGCCATTTGGGTACTTAGAACATCCCTCGCTCGCGGGCCCTACGAAGTTGTCAGCCTGCTATAGGTTAGTTGAATTTCAGGTTGCCTTGGTGGAGCCGGACCGGAGGGCCTTACATATGTGTCTCCGAGCAGGTGAAGACACCATAGGAAAGACCCCATGGCATGAGATGGGTCTTCACCTGTGCCCCAGCCCTGCCGCCATCCCTGACCCCGGAGACTGGTACTGACCAAGGGCTCCCTCCCTAACTCCTCCAGGGCTGTGTCCACAGGCCGCTGGTGGGGAGAAGGTGGCTGTCTAGGCGTGTTTTCTCTCTTGCCTTTAGGTGATTTCCGATTTTGACATGACCTTGAGCAGATTTTCCTATAATGGAAAGCGATGCCCATCTTCTTACAGTAAGTCACTGCTAGCTTGCCTTGCTGGGCTTGAGTGATGGCTTCCAAGGGGTAAGTAACAATTCTGTGTTTTCCCAGATATTCTGGATAACAGTAAGATAATCAGTGAGGAGTGTCAGAAAGAGGTAGGTTCACTTCTCTTTACTCAGCGTCTGGCATGTCCTACTTCAAATGGCTCCTGGTTAGAACTAAAGGGTCCAGGATAGAGACCACAGAAGATGAAAGTTTTAAAAATTGCTGTTGCTGCGCTCAGGAAGATGTAGTCTTGCTATACTTAAGATGGGCCAGTGTGGTGGCCCTGCAGGTTGAATCGCTGCTTGCGATGGCGTCAGAGCGCTGGTTCAAGGCCTGCTTGCTCTGTGCCTGAGCCCCTGCCATCCAGGCCACATGGGAAGCCTGGATGGAGTCGCTGGCTCCTGGCTTTGGCCTGGCCCATTCCTAGCCACTGTGAACGTGTAGGGAAGAACCAGCAGGTGGAAGAGATCTCTCTCTCTCTCTCTTTCTCTGTGTCTTTGAAATAAATAAATGAAACTTTAAAAAGGTATATATTTAAAGCACCTTTTCCTTGTTGGCCAAGACCTATGATGACTGATGGTTGGAATATGGACATGAAGTTTCCTGTAAGCTGTAGAGTTTACGAGACACTTGAATGTTTTGTCATTTAACTGTCTAGCACTGCAGAAGACAGACAGAAATGTTACTGTCCCCACTTAACCATGAGGTTGAACTGCTCCCCCAGGGTCACACAGCCAAGCCAGTCTCTTCCCTCTGCATTGTGCTTTTTCCGTCATAATACCATTTTCTTGGGAAGATATGAAGACAGACGGCTGAGTCGGTGTCAGGGTGTGGCAGCCCACAGCTGTGTGTACATCCTCTGAAGCCGTCCGGGCAGCCTTCGCTCCTCACTTGACTTTGCTCTGTGTCCTTCCCAGCAGTGCCCTTTTTTTTAAGATGAATTGTTTTCATCTACTTGAAAGACAGAGGGACAGAGAGACAGACAACAGACAGAGGTCTCCCATCCATTGGTTTACTCTGCAGATGGCCACAACAGCCAGGGCTGGGCCTGGCTGATCCAGGAGCTTGGTGCTCCATCCGGGTTGCCTACATGTCTGGTGGGGGCCCACACACTTGAGCCATCACCTGCTGCCTCCTAGTGCACGCTTAGACGGCCGCGTTTTGGGAAAGGCGGCACTAAGCCCCAGCCGGACTGACCGAGCTGATTGACAGCAGCGGCAGAGCGACCCCGGCAGCCCTCGTGGCTGCAGGAAAAGCACCTTTGTCGCAACACTTAGACCCTTCCCTGAGCCGAGCGAGGACGCGGCCGCTCTGTAGATCCAGTCCTGCCCTGGCCCGTAGCAGGTGGGTAAGCGCCAGCTGCCCGAGGACGAGGAGGTTGAGTTTTGTCAGTGGCGTGTTCCCCATTGAAAACCTCCGGAGCACAGACCCTCTCCTGCCTGCCTTGCCGTCCCCTGGGTGTGCCGAGCTGTGGTTGCTGGGGGCTAGCGGCCTTTCTCTCCCTTTGTCCCAGCTCACGGCGCTCTTCCACCACTATTACCCCATTGAGATCGACCCGCACCGCACCGTCAAAGACAAGTTCCCGCATATGGTGGAGTGGTAAGTGACGGTGAGGACGCGCTCCTGGACCCAAGAGGGGCAGGGGCTGGGGGGCAGGCTTTGCCGGCAGAAGCCTTAGAACCAACCATCTGTGGCTGCTGTCAGAGTGGAGGGCCTCCCAGAATCTGGGGAGAAGTTAGAAGATCAGCACTTTGGGGAAGTGGCCCTTGTCTGCTTCATGCTGCTGCGGCAGGATAATTTATAGTCAACAGAAATGTGGGGACCACGGTCCTAGAAGTGAGAGTCCAAGATCCAGGGGCCCTTTTCTGGTGAGGGCTTTCTGGGTGTACCATCCTACTACAGAAGGGCAAAGAGGCCGAGAGAGACAAGGAGAGGGGCAGGCGTTGCAGCACAGTGGGCCAGACCGTCATTGCAATGCCGGCGTCCCGTATTGGAGCACTGGTTTGAGTCTTTGCTGCTCCGCTTCCAATCCAGCTCCTGGCTAATGCGCCTGAGAAAGCAGAGGAAGATGGCCCAAGTCCTTGGGCCTCTGCCACCCAAGCAGGAGACCTGGATGGAGTTCTGGGCCATTGAAGCCACTGGGGAGTGAACCAGTATATAGAAAGAGCTCTCTATCAATTCTGCCTTCACATAAATAATAAATAAATTATTTTTAGAAAGACAAAGAGCAAGATGGGACCGGCCAGCCTTGTTGTTTTATAAGGAGCCAGCTCCCATGATAATGGCATTAATCTATTCGTTAAAGTGGTGCCCCACATCCCTGATGCCTCCTGTTAGGCCCCGCCTCCTGACACCTGTGCTCCGAGGATCATGTTTTCGACACATGAACCGTGGGGGATGCGCTCGCACAATAGCAGCCCCTGTAGATACTGGCCTCACTGGGCAGGGCCCGCATCTCACGGAGCACAGTCACACAGCACGGGGATCGGAAGAGTTTTGGCTTCTGCCACCGAGTTGCGTAACTGTGTTTCTGTTGTGCTGCTTTCCCACTCGCTTCCTCTTTTTTAAAGATTTATGTATTTTATTTGGAAGGCAGAGTAGCAGAGAGAAAGAATGAGAGAGAGATCTTCCATCCTCTGGCTCTCTCCCTAAATGGCTGCAGCAGCCAGGTCTGGGCCAGTCTGAAACTCATCCAGGTCTCCCATGCGGGTTGCAGGGGCCCCAGCACTTGAGCCATCCTCTGCTGCTTTCTCTGGGATATTAGCAGGGAGCTGGGGGAAGCAGAGCAGCGGGGCTTGAGCCAGCATCCCGGATGAGGTGCTGACGTCACAAGTGGTGGCCCAGCCTGCTGCACCACAGTGTCCAGTCCCCCGTTCATCCTTTTAAGGACAGCCAGAGTCCTGGAAGTGGACTGTGGGAAGGGCGAGGCCTCCCCAATCAGGGCTGTCTGAGGGGACTTGGCTTTGTAAAGGGGAGGGGTACGTCACTTCCTTGAGTGATTGGAATGTGGGGTTTCATGAGGTGTCTGTTCCCAGGTGGACCAAGGCACACAACCTGCTGTGTCAGCAGCGGATTCGGAAGTGTCAGATCGCACAGGTGGTGAGGGAGTCCACCGCGGTGCTCAGGTGAGCGGCTCACCCCGAAGACGCTTCTGCCACATCACACCGTCCCTCGATGCCCGTGGGGATTGGGCTTCTGAGTCCCCTGTGTAAGACAGGGCAGTGTTTGCATAGGACACACGGAGCGATCCCCTCCCGAGCACCGTGACTTGGGGCAGCTACTACAAGGGAGACGCCCTGTGAGTAGCTGTGTGTTGGGTAGGGGATGATGAGAAAGCGTCTGTAAGTGTCAGGGACAGACACAACCGTGGTTTCAAATATTTTCACTCCACGACTGGTTGACGCTTCAGGTGCAGAACCCGTGGCTACAGAGGCTGCGGAGGGGCGGGGAGGGGCGAGCTTCCAGGAGCCAGGAGACCCGGCAGCCTGGCTTCTGAGGTGGACAGGGCCGCACTTTCACTCTGGAGACAGCTCATGGGCCTCCCTGCTTCCCTGGAGGCCATCTTGCAGACGGGCCGGGGCTTCCTGAATTTTTTATTTATTTATTTTATTTTTTTTTTTTAAGATTTATTTGTTTAAAAAGCAGAGTGATGGGGAGCGGGGGAGAGACAGAGAGATCTTCCATCTACTGGTTCACTCCCCAGATACCCACAGCAGCGAATACTGGGCCAGGCTGAAGCCAGGAGCCCGGAGCTCTCTCCCGGTCTCCCACATGGGTGGCGGGGGCCCAAGGCCATGAGCCATCTTCTGCCACCTTCCCAGGTGCTTTCGCAGGGAGCTGGATCAGAAGCAGAGCGGCCGGGGCTCGAACCAGTACTCCACTGTGGGATGCGAGTGTTGTACGTGGCAGTCTAACCCCCTGCGCCACCCCGCTGCCCCCAGGGCTTTGTGTCATAGAACAGGGTCTGGCTCATTCTTCACAGCGGTGGTGCTGATGTTCGTCACCCAGACACAGCGTCCGCTAGGCTAGGGCCTTTGACAGCAGTGTGTCCTGAGCAGCTGTGTCTGCTGGATCTTCAGACCTCCTGGAGGAAGGAGGCTACGTGGGTACCTGTCCTTAAGGATCGCGCACCCTACACGGGAGAGAGGCGGCCTCCTAAGAAGCCGAAACAGCCGAGATGTGTGTGTGCAGGCCCACTAAGTGCGGGGGCTGCTGGGCGCTGCCGGGCCGTGCAGACCCTGGCTGCACACTCACGCCTGCCGTCCTCAGCAGTCGCGCTCTCAGGGAGTGCTCAAGAGAGACGAATGCCTGGAGCCCGCACAGGGCAGCCATGCAGCTTGGTTGCCAATGAGGAACAGTACCAAGTCGCAGTGAGAAGCAATGAATTACTCATGAAGCGCAGAACCCAGGTAAATCACACATTTTTATGAAACAAAGTAAGCCAGACATGAGGCCCGCGTTGAGGCACAGCTGATTAAGCTGCTACCTGCAATACCAGCATCCCACGAGCACCGACTCATATCCACTCCCCTGCCAATGTGCCTAGGAAAGCAGCCGAAGATAGTCCAAGTTCTTAGCCCCTGTCATCCCCATGGGAGACCGGATGGAGTTCCTGGCTCCTGGCCTCAGCCTGGCCCATCCCTGGCCCTTGCAGGCAGCTTGGGAGTGAACCAGCGGTTGGAAGATCTCTGTGTCGTTCTTTCTGCCTTTCAAATCTTTTAAAAACAAAAGGCAGATGCAAAAGGGTACGTTCTGTGTGAGTCTGGTTATATGAGGTTCAAGGACAGGCAGAGCTAGTCAGTGGTGAAATAAAGTCCAAGCTGGGAGGGCTGGTGTTGACGGGGGCGGGGGGTACCTGATGTAGTAGTTTCACAGGTGTGTACACACATGAGCATTCATCCAGCCGACACTCGGCGTCCGTGCACTTTAACCACTCACCGCGTAGGTTTTTTGCTTCACTGTAAAATGTTAAAAAAAATAAATAAATAAAAGAAGCATCTAACCCAAGTAGGAAACAGAGGGCAGGGGCGGAGGCCGAGCTGGTGCGAGGGTGTGCCCGTCTCCGCAGGGAGGGCTACCAGACGTTCTTCCACACGCTCCACCACGCCGGCATTCCCCTGTTCATCTTCTCGGCGGGCATCGGGGACGTCCTGGAGGAGATCATCCGACAGATGAACGTGCTGCACCCCAACGTGCACATCGTGTCCAACTACATGGACTTCGATGAAGATGTGAGCCAGGGCCCGCCGGGCGCGCGGGAGCAGGGCCAGCCCCCGCCATGGAGAGCGGCCTCGCTGCCTCGCCCTGCGGCGCTTGTTGGCGCACCCTCTCTTTGGTGCTTGGCTGGCGGTCCGCTCTCAGCCGTGAGTGCCTGGTTGACGGGTCACGCTGGCCCCGCGTCGCTGTCCTGCAGTCTGAGGGACTGTGGCTTGTTCTGGAGCCAGAGGCGGGCTGCTCCGGCCACCCACGTTCTGCCTTCTTCCCCTAAAGCCAGGGGCTGGCGTTTGCAGTGCTTTGCCATGTGGCCGGGCCGTGGTCCACAGCTGGGCGTGTGTGTCACGGGCTTCGTGCTTCTGCCACAGCAGTTGGTCACCATGGGGTGGCCCCTGTGAGTGTACACCTTGCTGGTAAAGGGCCAGGTAGCAAATGTTCTGTGCCCTGTGCGCTTCTCAGCGTGCGCTGTGGCCGTGCGGCCCAGGGCGTGGATGGCGTGGGCCAGGTTCCTGGAAAACCTTGGCAAAACAGTCCCAGTCCTGCGTTGGCCGGGTTTGCCACCCGCTGGTTTAGGCGACAGTGAGGGTGGAGCGTTTTCTGGGCCCCCGGGGTCCCTCTGCGCCAGCAGTCCCTGCAGCGCCTCCGGCTGTGTCTTGTCTTATGTTTAGGGTTTCCTCCGGGGCTTCAAGGGCCAGCTCATCCACACGTACAACAAGAACAGCTCCGTGTGTGAGAACTCTGGTTACTTCCAGAAGCTTCAGGGCAGAACCAACATCCTCCTGCTGGGAGACTCCATGGGCGACCTCACCATGGCCGAGGGGGCTCCTGACGTGCAGAACATTCTCAAGATCGGCTTCCTAAATGACAAGGTAGGCGGGGCCAGGACTTCCTGTCCACGTGGCCTGTTCTGTTTGCATCCCTGTTAGCAGAGGCTTTTGAACACCTTGTGTGTGCCCAGCACCGTGTTCAAGTGCTAGGGGCACAGCTGCGTCCTCCCGTAGCGGCGTGTGGTGTCAGGACATGCAAGAGAGCCCCCCCCGCCTCCGTGATGGCAGCCGTGTGCACCCCACCTGGCCTGGCCAGGAGTGCTGAGGGCGGATCCTGGGCGTTAACCCACGCCGTCCCGACAGCACCCTCAGGGTGAGGAAGCCGAGGCAGGAGGTTCCGCGGCCCCGTGGAGTTTGGGCTGAGGAGCCGTCCTAAGTCACGGTCGCGTGAGAGGGAGGTGCCTCAGACGAGGAGGGTGAGGGGAAGAGACGAGGCTGGCAGCAGTGAAGCCGGGCGCTCTCAAAGGGCACAGAGTGCTCGCCTCAGCCTGCAGTGCCAGGGCCCACGCGTGCTTGAGCCACGTGAGAACTTGGTCCAGATGAGTCAGTGACATCTGGGTTTTTGCTTTTGATCCGAGTCCCTGCCCTTTTGACAATGACCCTAGGGCTAATGGGCATTGCATGCCTGCCCATTGGCATCTGCGAGGGGCAGGTCCCTGTGCCTGAGCGCCTGCAGCCCCCGCGTCCCCCCCACCCCGGCAGGTGGAAGAGCGGCGGGAGCGCTACATGGACGCCTACGACATTGTGCTGGAGCGGGACGAGACGCTGGATGTGGTCAACGGGCTGCTGCAGCACATCCTGCACCCAGGGGACCACGGGGAGCTGCAGGGCCGCTGAGGGTGCGGCGTGGCCGGGAGGGTGTCTCCCCAGGGCAGCAGGCGCTGCGGGCCCTGCTGCACCCACCGCCTGCACCGAGGGAGGCCAGCAGGAGGCCAGCGGCACCTGCTGTTCCAAAAACGAGCCAAGGGCCACTGCTTGTTCACTGTCTTCAGGTCGTCTTGTCTGGGAGGCGCTTTTAAATATTTTTTTAAAACATGGGAAGCTGTTCTTTATGAAACAGATGAAAATAAAAACAAACTGTTCTGATTACGGGGTGTGCTGGGGGCAAAGCCCACACCTTTTAGCCTTAGAGGCACAGTAACCTCTGAGAAGCCCTTGGGGCCCTGCGGAGCGGAGTCTGAGCACAGCCTCAGGGAGTGGGATCCGGCCGGGTGGGCGAGGATGGAAGGGTGGGCGACTGCCCTGGAGCGTTTGACCTCACTGTGACGCAGCTGCAAAGCCTGAACAGCAGCTGCAATCAGCTGGGTTGAGGCGACCCTGTCCAATTGGTGTGGATTTCCCTGACCCCTTTGGCTCTCCACCTGCCGGTGCCGTGGGTCCAGGGCCATTGGAATGGGTGACCCAGGGTGGGTGTTGTGGTGTAGTGAGTTACATTGCCCTCTGGGACACCTGCATCCCACATTGGAGATCCTTGTTCAAGTCCTGGCTACTTTGCGGTTCCAGTCCAGCTTCCTGCCAATGTGCAGGGGAGACGGCAGATGATGGCTCAAGTGCTTGGGCCCCTGCCACCCATGTGGGAGATCTGCATGGAGTCTGTGGCTCCTGGTTTCAGCTTGGCTCAGTCCCTGCCATTGGAGCCATGTAGGGCGTGAACCAGGATGGATGCTCGCTCTCTGCCTTTCAAAATAGTAAATCTTTAAAAACATCAACAGGGGCTTTCACTGTGGCATGGTAGGTCAGCTGCCACCTGTGCCCTCGGCTGTCGCTCCCCCTCTTCGCGGAGGAACGACACAGGACCCTGCGCTGTTCTTTTGTCTGCTCGGCCCTCCCCAGGTTTGCTGCTGGTTCTTCCCGGGTTGGCTACCGTCCCTTCCACCTCCGTGGAAGGGCGGTTCCCCCTGCCACTTTCCCCACTTCCGCGGGGGAGCGGCACACCGCCGGCCGGCTCTCGGGGGCTGCTCAGGTGTTCCTCTTAGATGTTCCTGGTGCATGTTGTCTCTCTCCTCCTTTACAGTCCTCTTCCACCAATCCCAACTCTGCTACCCACACGCCGAGTACGCTGCTCTCCTCCAATCAGGATCAGCTCCTCCTGCTTATTGGTTGAACTGGAGGCAGCTGTGTAGAAGCTGTTTCCTCCTCTCCCAGCGCCATATTGTGGGAGAGCAGATGCATAGAATAAGTCTTAATTCGAGTAACAGTCTAGTCCGAGTTGCTCCCCACACTCGGCATCCTGCGTCAGAGTGCCAGTGCATGTCCACACTGTGCTTCCTGTCTGCCTCCCGCTTATGTGCACCGCTGCCCTGTGTCACCGTGTCCCTTCCTGTGTGCACCACTGTCCTGTGTCACCGTGTCTCCTCTGTGCACCGCTGCCCTGTGTCACCGTGTCCCCTCCTGTGTGCACCGCTGTCCTGTGTCACCGTGTCCCCTCCTGTGTGCACCCCTCCCCTGTGTCACCGTGTCCCCTCCTGTGTGCACCGCTGTCCTGTGTCACCATGTCCCCTCCTGTGTGCACCCCTCCCCTGTGTCACCATGTCCCCTCCTGTGTGCACCGCTGTCCTGTGTCACCATGTCCTCTCCTGTGTGCACTGCTGTCCTGTGTCACCATGTCTGGCTCCTGTGTGTACCTCTGCCCTGTGTTACTGTGTCCCCTCCTGTGTGCACCGCTGTCCTGTCACTGTGTCCCCTCCTGTGTGCACTGCTGTCCTGTGTCACCATGTCCCCCTCCTTGTGCACCTCTGCCCTGTGTTACTGTGTCCCCTCCTGTGTGCACCACTGTCCTTGTCACCATGTCCCCTCCTGTGTGCACTGCTGCCCTGTCACCGTGTCCCCGCTTGTGTGCACCGCTGTCCTGTATCACTGTGTCCCCTCCTGTGTGCACCCCTCCCCTGTGTCACCGTGTCCCCTCCTGTGTGCACCCCTCCCCTGTGTCACCGTGTCCTCTCCTGTGTGCACCGCTGCCCTGTGTCACCGTGTCCCCTCCTGTGTGCACCGCTGTCCTGTGTCACCGTGTCCCCTCCTGTGTGCACCCATCCCCTGTGTCACCGTGTCCCCTCCTGTGTGCACCCCTCCCCTGTGTCACCGTGTCCCCTCCTGTGTGCACCCCTCCCCTGTGTCACCGTGTCCCCTCCTGTGTGCACCCCTCCCCTGTGTCACCGTGTCCTCTCCTGTGTGCACCGCTGTCCTGTCACCGTGTCCCCCTCCTGTGCGCCCTGCTGTCCTGTCACCGGGCCGTTCGCATCGTGCCCTCCTCTTCTCTCACTGTGGACTTAGGTGGTCAAGAACTACCTGCATCCCCTCCAGGGCACCTTGTGAAGGTGTGGGCTCCCTGGTCTCTCTGTCCATCTCTGAGTCTCACCCGCCCACGCGACTTCCCCAGCTCCTAGACCCCCAAAGCCAGCAGGCCGAGGCCGCTGTTTTCGTCATTTATTTGGTGAGGGAGGAAGGGATCCAACGCGAGCTTGGCTCTAGGGGTGTGGTGGGGGCAGAGCCTGCACCTCTTGGCCCTGGAGGCACAGCCCCTCCCCCACCCCCAGGAAGGCTGTCGGGCCACGGTCCCTAGGCAGGTTTCCTTGCTCTCTGTGACTCCTCCTGGAGAGGAGTCGCCTTTAGGGGTGGAAGGTGCACAGAGCCTGGCCCTGGCCTCCAGCACCTGGGCTGCAGGGCCAGGAAGGAGGGGAGAAGGCGGGGAGAAGCCAGAGGGCAGGTGAGGTGGGGCTGCCCGCTTGGGCTTGCTCCTGCCCTAGGAGCCGGTCACAGCAGAGGGAGGAGGGCTAGAGGGGTCTCCTGGGGAGCTGCCACAACAGAGGGAGGGGGCTGGGGAAACAGCCCAGCCCGGCCAGGAGCCTGGGGGTCGGGCGGGGGCCCTGACTCTGCTGACCCAGACTGGCTTTGTGAGGCCACACACAGGAAGGGGCTTTGGGTCTGGGGAAATGGCCCCAGAGCGCTGCTCCACTGCCCCAATGTGGTTTCCCCTCAGGCTTCTCCTGGCACAGTGCACAGGGAGGGGCGGTGGGCAGGCAGGCCAGTCCCACTGCCACTGTGGCCCACAGGGGCTGCTGTGCCTCCTGCCCTTCAGAGCTCCTCGTGGACCCGCTCCTGGTCTTCATCCGACTTCAGCTTGAGCTCCTCGGCCGTAACCTTGCTGTCCTGGTTGCGGTCCTGGTTCTGGAACATGTCCCTGATGGTTTTCTCCGGGTCCTGCCCGGGCAGGAGGCGCCCCTTGCCCTCACTCACTTGAGCCTTGATGAAGGTGGAGAACTGCGGGAAGGGAGGCCACAGCTAAGCAGCTGCAGGAGGTTCTGGGAAGGGCTCCGGGGAGGGGCCGTGGGTGTGCTGCTTCCCAGGCTGCCCCTCCCCTCCCCAGCTCCGTAAGCACTGGGAGAGGCCAGGAGAGGCGCTGGGGGGGGGGGGGGCGTGGCATGGGAGTGGTCAGCAACAGGGCCCAGGTAGGGGAACCGGCTGCACCTGTGCCTGAAGCACAGGCAGGGACAGGGAGCCCAGGGCCTGGGGCTCAGCACAGGGGCAGGCCTGCAGGCGCAGGGGCGGGCAGGTGGGAGGGGCATGTGCACCATGCAAGGTGGCTCCTGGCTGGGGGGAGGGGGTTTGTGTGGGCTCTCACCCACCTCTTCCAGGGGGACCTCGCCATCCTTGTTGAGGTCCATGTCTTCAAAGAGGCTGGCGGGAGGGTCCTTGTGCCACACAAAGAGGTAGCCCGTGGGCAACCCGTCCTCCCGGGACACCAGCTCCACCTCAAACCTCAGCACAGCACTGCCAGGGACGCCCCGTGCTGGGGACGCGGAAGAGGAACGCAAGGCCCCTGGTAAGGCTGGGGCCTGGCCGGCCTCACAGCCTCCCCTGAGGGGCCGGGGGTGGGGCATGGGATGCTTACTGAGCCATCCCAAAGGCTTCCTGCCAGCCCACCAGCCCCGGAGGCCCGAGCTGACCAGGGACAAAAGGGACAGAAAGCCACCCAGACACTGGTCTCCGCCCTCACCTCCACTCTCCCCATGTGCCAAGTGTGGGGGCACAATCAGCTGCCGCCTCTCTCCCACGCACATGCCCTGCAGGCCCCGGTCCAAGCCTTCGATCACCTTGTTGGCGCCCAGAGTGGCCTCCTGGGGGGCCCCGTGGTCATGGCTGGGGGAGAGCAGGTTTCCCTGTGATTTCTCTCCATGAAAGGGAAACAGCAGCGCCCCTCCCGCCACGGTCACCTCCCCTTGCCCAAACCCCCTTTCCCCCCATCCCGCCCCCAACTCCCGCTGTGATGTGCACCCATGGAGGAGGCATCAGCGGCCGGCCGGGAGGGAGGCGCTGGGGGGGTGGCCCGGCCTGTGCCCACCCACCTGCCCAGCCCCGGCCCTGCCCCGGACCCACGAGGAGAACAGCTGGGTGCCATCCAGCAGTGAGCAGTTGTAGTGGTAGCGGACAAAGTCCCCGAGCTTGGCGGCCTCCGTCTCATTGCAGGCCTCGGCCGGCCGGGACAGGGTCTTGATTTCCACGGGATCCGCAGGGTTGTGGAAGTCGATGACGTGGACGTCGAAGATGAGCACAGCGGAGCCTGGGATCTTGTCTCCTGGGGCCCCAGTGGGCCAGTGAGTCAGCTCGGAGCCCCGAGAGGCTGCTCCAGGCCCTTCCCACCCCAGGCCTCTCTCCTCCCAGCGCTGCTGGGGCGTCCCGGGGAGGGAGGGGCAGCCGAGGAGAATCATCATCCCCCTGCCTCCTGGGTCCCGGCTGACCTAGCCTGCGAGCCGCACTTTACAAGTCAGAGCATTGAGGCTTCCAGCACAGCTGGGTCTCAAATTCCGGCCCCTGCTCCCTAGGGGACTACGCCACGTCTGCTTCCCTCCCGGGGACAGTGGATGGGTGACAGGAGGTAGCCCGCATGCATTTGTTGATGAGGGGCACCAGTGGCAGGAATCCCACTACATGCAGGGGCTGGGGTGGGGGAGAGGAGCTGGGATAGTGGCCCTACCAGTTCCGTTCTCCCCATAGGCGAGGTGAGGGGGGACGGTGACTCTGCGGCGCTCCCCTACGCAGGCGCCCTGCAGCCCCTGGTCCATCCCGGGGATGATGTAGCCCTGGCCGATGTA